GCTTGCGCGATCTACAAGCAGGCTCCTCATATCTTAAGTAATCATCCATGGTCTCGATCCATTCCTCAATGTCGTCATTGGGATTGAACTCGGGCGGACGAGGCCGAAAAATTAATCGTTCCAATCCAGCGTGGAGACTGAATAGGTCCGTGTCCGTCTTCGATACGGTACCGCTGCCACCAGATGTACGTTTCGGCCCCATGGTATAGTGAGGAAGAGAATGAGACAAAATGATTTTTCTTTAATAAAGGCTGAAACTCGCAACACTGGTCTGAATCTGGTCAGTCCGTATAGGGAAATCAGGGGGTTTATATATCCTGGTTCTGTTCTTCCTGTTCTCCCATTGGTCCGTCCCGCGTCACTACAATGGAGACGGAAAACTCGTGAGCGGATTGGCTCTCAGTCTCCGGCGCGTCATTCAATGCCCGCACGCCACCACGCAGCCGGAAGTCGCACCACCGGTCACGTGACGTCGCCTCCGCGCCGTGCTGACTACCATCACCAATATGGCTGCCATCTGTCAGTCCGCTACACCACTGCAGAATAATCGAGCCCTAAGAGGAAAAAGACCGGTAAAACAGAACAGGTTTTATTGACCAATCAGAAGCCAGAGCCACACGTCAGGCGCCTTTCATCTGTGTCTACGACGCTGTCCACACCGCTCATTATATACTGCACCTCAGTCGTGTCCTTCTCTGGTTAACTGCTTATCTTCCTGGCATGCCATTGGATCGCAGAGAGACACAGGATTGGCTGAGGCCAGGTGGCCAACATGTCTGCGCCCTGATCCGACGCCACACTGCCTCCCCCTTAGGAGTGAAGCTGTCCTCAGCTTCTGGCTTGGTTCCTTGCACTGTTGTTGATTTCCAGTGTTGATAAAATATCCAGTTCGACACTTCCCGCACCCCACATCTGGCAGGATAGTGGCCCAAGCGAATAGATGACGATAGACTTTACTCTTGTAGACTTGCAGGAAGGACGCTTCATCCATCGTAGATCCATTCGCAGTAACAGTCCAGCTGGCTTCTACTATCCATGGCATCGTCGCTGAGTTGCCTATGCCTCTTCAGATACAGAAGTCCTAGTCCCGGGCAATGTCTATGTATCCAGAGTATTGGATATCGGAAAACCGCCATGACAACTTCAGCTGGCATTTAAGGGTCCTTGCCCCTTTTGACCATTTTAAGGGATAGGCTGGGGTTCGAATCGCGTTATTCGAACGCATCCGCTGCCACCAATATAGAATACCCGAGCCCTAATAGGAAGAAGATTACACACAGGATAGGCTTTATTGACCAATTATAAGCCAAAATCACACCTCAGGCGCCTTCCATTCGAGTCCTCCACACTGGCCACGCAGCTCAGTATATACTGCTCCTCATTCGTGTCTTTCTCCGGTTGGCTGCCTACCTTCCTCTTAGGCTGCTTGAACACAGAGACACATGATTGGCTAAAGCCAGCGTGGTCCTTCTCTGGTTGGCTGTTTATATTCCTCACATGCCCTTAGAATGCAAGAAGACACAGGATTGGCTGAGGCCAAGCGATGCAAAATGCCTGCGCCCTGATCCGTCGCCGCTGTAGAATACCCGAGCCCTAATAAGAAAAAGACTAGTACAACAGAATAGGCTTTATTGACCAATCAGAAGCCAGAGCCACGCGTCAGGCGCCTTCCATCCAAGTCCACCACGCTGGCCACGCCGCTCTTTATATTATGCACCTCAGTCGCGTCCTTCTCTGGTTGGCTGCTTATCTTTCTCGCATGCCATTGGGACACAGAGGGACACAGGATTGGCTGCGGTCAGGTGGTCCAACATGTCTGCGCCCTGATTCGACGTCACACTACACCACACCGCCTTACTTTTCCCTGTCTGATTAGTTCTGTCAAGCGCTCATGCAGTTGCACCAAATAATTGCGGGTTCATGCAACAAGACCGGGGGATGTATTTCATCTTTAAAATATCTGGGTTCTTTCTACATTGTAAGTTGATCTCTGATGACGGTCTTTTTTTACTTTCCAGTGGAAGTTTACTATTTGTTGTTCTCCATGCTTTATTTTTTTTGCCCCTAAATTGGGTCTTACCTTTTGCTTAAATTTATATTTTAACACCCTTTGGATTAGTTGTAGTCTTTGCACATGGTACACATTTGAGATTATTGTGTAAATTCTAGTTTTCCTTCAATCTCAAAAGCATTGCAAGTTGCCAATTCCAAACTACCAACATTTCGCATTTTCATGTCCGTCGTGGCATTTTAATCTAGATTCACAAACCTTTTAAGTACTGGTTACCTACTTACCAATGCTACACGCTTTTATTTTTGTTGGTGCATTTCTCTTGTTGCATTTTTCGAGACAGGAAACAGTATGCTATCTTGTCAATGTCATAACGGTGTGATATTTTGCGCGATGTGTCTATTTGTTTCCTCTATTTTGAAAAAAACGCATTTCTATATGGTTTTGCTGACTACGTTACTGCACTGTCATTTTGTTTATAAATTGTAACCCCGACCTCTCGTGTGCTGTTGCCTGATATATATTGTACAAAGGCATGTAGCAATATCGAGGAAGGTTTCATCGTTGGGGAGGCTCACTGAACAGTAACTTATTCTTTTGCATGAATCCCTTGCAAACTAAAATTATCACGACAAAAGTTTACCAAAAAAAAATCTTTGATGTCAAGCCTTTTAGTAACTTCATGTCTCGTGGTACTCGTATTGTTTCTTTTCCAATGAACTCTTTTTTTCCTAAATGTTTGGATGAAGGCCTCGTTTTACTGAACAAGTGCCTTGGCAGAATAATGACATTTTACCTCCAAACTATGCATTATGGCTTGCTTTGTTAACTGTTGATTTATAGTCTTAACTGATTTTCAATGTCAACATATCCCCAAATATCAGTGATTTATCATAATTACTGATTAAATAGTCTATAAACGCTTCGACTGCTTAGATGTACGTGCTTGTTCGTTGTTTTTTAGTTTTTGTGTGCGGGATGTCGTCTGCATGCACACTTACGATTTAAATCCGATGGTCCACAACCAGTTTAATGAATTGTAGTCTTACATTTGCTTTCGTGATTCATAAAACCTTTTGATTGATGGTTCATGTCTGAACTCCTCTTCTTCATATTTTTTCTGTTCAGTATCCTGTGAACCAGGGCAACTTTTAGCGTTTGACCGTCTTAACCATTTCATATAATAATTTCTTTAATTTATTTGAAAAATGCCTCCTCGTGGCCAAATTTTTATGGATGTAGTTATCTGCTGTCTACTAATTAAAACATTGGGCTTGAAAATTCAAAAACCCGAGATTGCCCTCTTTACCACTCATTTTGAATTTTGAATTCGTCCTCATAAATTTGCCGACGAGATGCCTTTTCACTGCACACATGCCACCAATTGGTGGCGAAATTGAAATTGTCGCTTGTTTATGTGCTGTAAGAAGGCGCATAAGTCTGTGTTGAATCTAGACGTCAACCACTGACCTGTTTAAAATTACTTTACTTCCGGATATTTGCCTAGTCAATCTCATGGAATCACATTTCCTCATCTTCGCCTTTTTTTATTTTTATTTGATATACAAGTACATCCCAAAGCTCTATTCGCCCTTTTTAACCTCAATAGGCGTCGTTTTATCCACGTTCGGCATAATTAAAACCTTTGCGAAAATTCTACTTTAGGGTAATTCTTGATTACACGTTTGTTGAAATAAACCTCATTTACTAACTCCTCGTCAACTCCTTTGGCACAATTTTCAGGAATCCTATTAACCTTTTTCCGGGTCATTCTGTGGTGAGCGTGTGCCTTAGTAGGTTCCCCAACACCAATTTTGTGGTATTTTGTATGATACCAAACACTCCTTTTAACACATTCCATGTAGTGTCGTCTAAAAACATAAATACATGCTGAGTCCGAGTATTTGTTTGTGTTGTTTTCCTCGGAGCCCCAATGCAGTCGTGGTACCCTTCAGTCTACCCACTTGCTTACTTTATTGTGGCTAGTACTCTCCTCCCTCATTTCTTTTGACTCCCGCGCCTAACTTTCGAAAACAACGCCATCCAATTGGCTGATGAGCGGTAATGCCTCCTAGCCAGCTCACCCTATAGCGTACTCGTTGAGGCGTGCGAGTACACTACTACTGCTATGTGATAGAACCTTTTCCCAGTGTTGACTACTTTGTTTTGTGTGACATTTTTTGATGAATTGCTGTCCGTGTAAACGTTTAAATAAGGATGATGGCGAATCGACATGGTCTTACTTTTTTTTCAGAAATCACGAATTAAGCCATTCCATTCTATAAATAGCCTATTATTTGTGTTATTTTAGATATATGGAAGCGGCAAAAGTGTCGTCTTCTTGGACGAATCACTGCTCCAGATTCAGTCGATTACCGCCACATTTGGAGCTAGCGGAAAGGAGATTGTCAGCCTGGCCTGTGAAGACTTTGGCGGGCTCGTACGTTCACTTTTCATGTCCTAACGCTCTCCTCTTAGATTGCCGTATCCGATGGCGAAACTGTTGCTGTTTTTGAACCTACCGTAAGTTGAACATATTTGCCAGGTCCGAGGTTTTAATGCTCCATCCTGAGTTGATTAAGCCGGAACGGAACGTGACCTTCTTGCACTTAAATACAACGGCCAGAAACTTACACAGACAATTGCAGCACGAGCCACAGTTCGTCTGTAGGTACCTAGCTCACTATCTGAATCGCCATCGCTTTGAATCGGATATGTCAGTATCTTTAAAATAAATTTACTTATGATTCTGACTATCCCCTTCTGTAAAACTTCCAAGAATGGATTATGTAGGATCATCCTCTATTGATTAATTCAAGATCAAGTCAACCTTCCAAAAGGACCAATTTTGGTTGATAGGTCGGCTATCTCAGCAGGACAAGCAAACGTAAATTAATAATGTGTGATAATGCTGCTAGTCAGTTCCATGGAGCTAGTAACGTAACTGAATGCAGGGATTCCAAGTGTCTGAATGTCAACGGTCGACAGGTTGTTGCGTGATTGGTTACATTACTACAAAATCCCTAATAAATTACTGAAAAGGGTGTAGATGTACACAAGATGTAATTTTTCTTACTATTTCCATTATTATTTGAGTTGTAGGAGTATACAGGACTGTTATATTTGCAACATTTCCAGTATTGGTCGAGTTATTAGCGACATTAGGTTTTAGTAAGCCTACCGACCTCATGCAAATGAGGTGCGAAAATGATTTTGGTCCGTGCACACGTCTTGCTCAAATGTCTTTGGGACTACTCATGCAGTTTCAATAAAAACAAGCTCAGTTTTTGGTGTTTTTCAGGTTTTCGCTCTCACTATCCCTATTTTGCAAGCGTACTGAATTTTTTTTTGAAAAGATGGCGTAAACTGTGGCAGAAACTTACGAATCGTCTGAGTCCCTTAACTGTGTGACATGAAACCGACCCACCCATTCCCTAAATTAAATGTAAAGCAAGTAATCATGGAGACAGCCTTCTTAAAAATCAGTCAGATTCGGCTTCAGGTCTAGATGCAAGTAGGAGTATTGCGATATAAACTAGTGGGTTAGGGAGAGGAAGAGGAGGAGACTGTAAAAAAAGCTTGATTTAATTCGGCTTGGAATTCATCTGATGTGGGGCAGCGCATAAAAGTGGTGACAAGTGTGAATTAGCATGGCTAGCCGTTTTTTTTTTCAAAATTGGGACCTTGGCTTTTGTGTAAACACAAATAAATCATTGGTATTAAGAGGAAGTTAAGAAATTTATAGTAATTGGGCACCCACAGTAACAGTCGCATATGCCACTGCGGCATTCAAAAACCACGGTGTAAAGTAAGTGGTTTTCAAACATTCATTAGGGAGTGTAGATGGTAGACTCCATTATAATGTGATCGGGAATTCATCGGATTTGGTTTCAAAGCTAGTAAAGCTGATTTAAACATTCTTCGTGTTCGGGGAAAAAATTACAGTAATCCTCGCGGTTACCGCAGGCGTCTTCGTGGTTTCCCACGGAAGTTTATTATCTCCCAAAACCACAACCAGCAGTAATCATTAGGACAAGCCTATTAAAATACGTTTGTAGACGACGGCAACTTGAGACCACTCCCAAATTCAGATTTTTTGTGCTTACGCTTACTACTAATGACTTCTGGCTAATTGTAGGAAGTAGGTGATACGGGAAAAGCGCGCTGGAGGGAGACGCGTCGGTTGAGCCCGCGTGGCAAAGTGACTGCCCTCGCTTGGTTCCCCCTCACTTCGGGCGGCAAGGAGCCCACTCTTCTGATTGGTTTTTCATCCCCATCCGCCTCCAAGAGTTCCTGCTACTACCTGAGCGCATGGAACTTAACGGGACCTCTAAGAATGGCAACTTCTTCCTCCTCCTCCTCTTGGCACTGCGCGTGGACTGAAGTATCTCCAGGTCAGTGGATTACGCTTTCAGCTCATTTGGTAAATCTCCGTGCTATTTACCCTGAATGTAATATCTCAATCCTGCGCTTATTTTTACGGTTGGGGGATATCGCTAAGAAAGCGCCATTCCTCGGACAGCTTTGTGGCAGTAAATGTTAACTGCTAATTTACTTTCTCATTCGTGACGGTCCCAGCCGGATATGCGCGTTATGCCATTAAGTGATCCCGTTGTGAGAAGATTGAATATTTGGTCTCTCGGATTCTATGTCGTCAATGTTGGTCCAATTGGGGTAGAAAAGCCCGCATCGGACACTGAACTATACAAATGGTGAAATGTTCAAAGGTTCTAATTCCATTCGTTGCCTTTGTTGAGTTTTACTGATTCCTATGGAATAAAAGATGTGAAATTTTCCGGAAGGAGGCCGCGGAGAAGCCAAAAAATCTGGTGAATTTGCGAGAGACTGGAATCAGCTCGAGTTTGGGTGATGCAAATAAGCACAACCTGGCACCAAATTGATGTTATCTACGCAGGATTTTTATGCTCTAGGACATTGTGGAAAAGTCACATTTGCGTCGAGGCTGAGGCTTAGAAAGAATCGTGCGTTTGCAACTTTGTTTCTTGCAAATTCAGTTTTAACTCGACACTGGAGTAAATAATTTCTAAGTCGTACAAATATACTGGTGAATAAAAGTTTTGGTCGAAGAAATTGGCGCCACTTTTTCATGTGTTTAAATTGACGGACACGCTTATTGAATGGATTATCATAAAACAATAACCGCCGACATTTCATGCATATTTTGACACAGACTTCCAAATGACTTAGATGCCGCTTCTTAATTTCCATCCATATTATTCCATAATCAAATTGACCTTTGACATTTCTACGCATCTAGCACCTTCACACAGGTAACCTTAGCCTTGTTAGTGGTCATCGATTAAACTTATTTAACACACCGTTACAAAATAGGGTTTGGCTTTAAAACGGACCTCTATGAATGGACTTTGTGAGATCTACTTGAGCTCGATTGGTATTTTACTTTTTCCTTTGTCGCTTTGACTAGTTTCGTAACTGGACTTTTTCATTCCAACGCTGTAGGTGAGATCGAACGTTTGTCGGTGTCGCCTGACGGTCGCTTCATTGCGTGTCAGTCCGCCCAGTTGCTCGGTCGGACTAAAACCGACCCACCATCTGGCCATCGCAGTCGACGAACGCTTCATGTTTGGCGTGAGATGCCTCACTTTCACCAACCGTCAGAACCCTCTGATGGGAAGCCCAAGCAATCCTCCCCTCAGCGCCCCGAATGGGTTCCTTTTCTTCTGAATCACCCCGACAACGTAGTGTCGTTTTCCTGGCGTCCCACTTCTCGATATCTTCCCCCGTAGGTTATGTTTCTGACACCGTAACACCTGCCGAGGTGGTTCAATTAGAACTTAATCATCCAGCTGACAACCAGTAGTTGTGTTCGATAGGCTGTGTTTCCTGCTAAACCAAGTAACCTCTGCCTTGATTTGCTTTAGCTAAGTTAGACGTTACCATGGTTATTTAATAAATCACTCACGACACTAATTCAGACCTTCTATTAGTGCTTAGTTTATTTATAGGAGTCAGGACCATGGTGAAAAAGCGGTTACTGTGCCTTTTTGTCTCCAGGAATCGGCAGTCAATCCACATAACCTTTTTGTTCCTCGGCCGAGTTGATTGACCGTTAAACTTTCTATACCAAAGTGTACGAATGTCTATTTTTCAATTCTCTAATTGCCTCGCCTTGTAGTGGCTGGATTCCCAATGCACTTTTAACTTCGTGTTATGATGGTGTGGCGCGGATCTGGTTTGAATGTTCACTTTGGGTTGAAGGTATCAACGATCCACGTCGAGCAAGTACTTCTGGCACCTCGCGTCAGTTTTCACCGGTATGCCTTTTATCTAATTTTAACCTCGGGCTCTGTTTTTCAGTTAACTTTTTTTTAGTCTGCTGGGAGTTACGCCACTGTTTGTTATTTGCTTGCTTTGGCCAAGAGTGCTGTTATCTCATTTTGATGTTTGGTGAGCCATAGCTGTGAATATTCACTTTTAAAAAAACCGATTTTATTGCCTCCTCTTTCCAAATAGGTTTAATGAATTTCACTTGCCTGCATGTAGTTCCACCGTGTTTTGAGATCACTATCCTACCAATTTCCCCAAGTTAATATCTAATTTACCGGTGACCTGTATTTCTTCTCAGAAGTGTTTCTTAAGGTCAAATGATTTTTTTAAACCAAGTGTGATTGCACCTCATCCGATGCCTCACTGGTTCCTGCCTTCGCTCATCATCCCGTCTTGCAGTACTACCTCAAGTTGCGGTAAGTCCGTCAGATTCATCCGCATTCACAGCAAATATTCCGAAACAGTTTAAAAGACTTCTCCAACTTACCCTGTCGAAATCTCACCGCGTTACATTCTTTACGTCCAGCCACTTGGGCCTTTTTTTAGGTCAAAGTTAACTTAATGGGCAATTTTTGAGTCTATTTTCACAAAAAAACTCTAACGACTGATTGCACTTAAAATCCACACGTATATGTGGTAGTGTCTCTCAGAAAAGTCACCTAATTTGTATCACCAGTTAACTAACGCGCATCAATTTCAAAGTAAGCCATGCCTAGTCTCTACCGATACCTCAAACCATCCAAGCTTAGTGGATTGAGGCATCGGATAAGCATTGAAATTAACCTGTGAAAAGAAATCGTTTGACCAACCCGTGAGCAGAAAACGCCCCATAAGTAATCACGGAGGTCAAGTGAGTGCTTTCGTTGTCTAGTTTAAGATCTGTCAATATAGTAATGGCAACTTGATCATAACACATTGGTGAATGTCCGAGGCAAAATGGGGAAGAATTTTGACGCACCACCAGAGTTTATCATGGCTTTTAAACGGAGACGAAGCCATGTTTCGCGCGTTAAAATGTTAATTTTGTTTTTGTGGAGGTGTACGATAGAAATAATATGGCCATAAATGCCATTATATGTCATTTTCTGAAATTTAAACATAAATTTTCGGTAATTTTGCATCATCACTCGATCCAGCTCCTCACTTGTTTGAACTCCGAATTAATCAGTTTCGCGTAAATTATTTTTCTGTCGATTCCACTTTTCCGAAATGGCTTCGCTCGTGTGCTAATTTTATCCAAATTTGGGGTAGTAGAGAAGCACGCTGAAATGGTAGCCAACTTAAATGTTGTTTTCAACGTCGTGATCTGTCAGGTCGTACCTTTTTTATTCGACTTGGTCCTCAAATATTTTGCTAAGTGCCATTGCGAGTGAAGTATGCGACTGTTTGGTCGCCTAAATTAAGAGAGGTTATTTATGGAATCTTTGTGCCTTTAGATGGGCTTATGCGACACTAGTCTGTCTAGTTGTAGCTTATTAACTCTTTTTTTCTATCTGGTTTTTCGTATTTTCATCGGCAAAATGCTGTAAAATAATGCGGAAGTGTACGGCGTGGGTCACGGCTTTGGTTAAATTTAGACGTTGGTAGGTCCGAAGACAAAACTTCCTCAAATAACTCCTGGTAATTTACTTCACCCAAAAGAAGGTTATGTTTTTTGCGTGATTGAGGTCGGGTGCATTAACTATCTAGGTTCTGGTGAATTTTTTTAGACTATTGCTTCCACTGGACACCGTTGCTTCGGACACGATTTCAGAACTTGGTCATCTATTTCATCTGAACAACCAGCCACAAGCTTCTAGCTTCGTCCTGGTTTCTTCAATCAACGCCGCTGATACAAATTTATCATTTTTTTCGGCTGACTGTGATGCATCGTCTCTGTACGTCCTCTGGTAGTCACACTTAGGCATTCCTTTTACATTTTTTACTAATTTCTCCCTTTTGTCTCCGTAATAGCAGAGGCGAATATATCCTTCAGTGGATGAACAATAAGGCTATTGAATTTGATCAGAAGTTCGATCGTTTCCTGCGTCGCCTCATTTCGGATATGGCTTCATGCCCAACTGACAAAATGGGTGAGTACTAGCATAATTTACGGGGACACTTATATTATTTTTTTACGCCACAATCCATTGCTCACTCCTTTCTAGACACTGCCCATGCCGTGGACAAGCTCAAGCAGCAGATTGGTGTGCTGGACCACATGGTGCTTAGGTGTATCAGCGATTGGAGCAATACACTTGATGCTATTTTAATGATTCACCCTATCGACGGGAGTCTGCTAGTGTGGTAATCTCCATGCTTTCCTTAATAAACCCAATGTCAAGTGTGCGAACTAGTTTTTTTTGTAAAATTGGCTTTCAAACGCCGTCTTTCTCTCGTAGACTTTCCCTTATCACAAGATGTGGTCGAATGGCTCTAAGTATCCAAATGTTCTTGGATTTTTACTCGGCTCATTCACGATTTTAAGCCCCTTCATTATCACTTAAGTGCTCAAATTAATTACTCTTTTAAACTCTTAAAGATAGACCCATTTCACTAAAAAAAACTACTTCTAGCCTTCCACCGTATTTGCTTTCAAAAGCAACTGACCGAATTCTTAATTTCGTACAACTCGAAGCTTATCGTGAGTCAGTTTGGGATTTCGTTTTTATGCAATCTATCATGAAGATAGGATAATTTGAAAAAATTCATGGAATTACTTTAACGTTATTCCAATTGGCTTCTTACTGTTCTACCCCTTCCAACTTCTAGGACAGTGAATAATTTGGATCGCTCCGCCTCAAATGGCAGTATGCTTTGCCAGCACGTCTTCGCGCTGGTCGGTGGTACTTTGAACTCGGTTACGGACACTGTGCCCCCAGAGGGGACACAGTATCGACACATCTGCCAAACAACTGTCAGTCTACGTTCACGTCTGCCAAATGTCGTTCTACCACATGAAGCATCCGCTATCGCGCATAATCCCTTATTATTTATCAATTTTTCCGAACATGAATCCTCTTTACTGTCACCAGCCTATCTGATGATGGCTGATCTTATCATAGCTCGATTGGATCTTCATCGTGATGTCAATAAGTCTTATCTCCAACGCATTCACTCCGTAAGTATTGGTCTGATATTGAATAACTGTATTTACTAGTCGAAATATCGCCCTCATTTGGCACTTCCTTGCAATTCACTTGCCTTGTTCTACACCTTGTCTACTTGCTAAGGCATATTTCAGTTTTTAAGCGAATCACCCTCTCTCGTCGTCTTATCGCCATTGTACCATCTCTTCTTCTGTAAAGTCACAATCCGTGTCCAATCAAACTTGACTTGCTCCTTTTTTTCTGCAGATCCATTCGATCTGTTCACAGTCCTTGGAGTCTCGTAATTTGTCAACTCTACACTTGTATTCATCTGCCAACGCCGATGGTCGAGCCATCAAACGCCTCAGTGCGTTCAGGGATTCCACAAAGTACGTTCACATTTCTTTAAAACTGTTGTGGCAAAACACGTTAGTGGGAATTTTTGATCGGCGAAATGTTACGAACACTGCTTCAATTCTTGATACCACAGATCTTGGATCCTGATAAACCAATCTGAACTGGTTGGTATGGAAATGCACTAGTTACTCTACTTACACTTGCGAAGTATTTTCGAAGGCGTGTTCGGTCACTTCTTGAGTACTAAGCAACATTGATGCTCTCGTCTTTCCTGGCAACCTTGGTTCGAAACGATTCCACTTTCGGTTAGCGGAGGAATACCACATCCTCTAACTCTTGATTCTCTGGGTTAGATTCTCAGGTGTGTTGAATGTGATGGCAATGGCGCCGGGGGTGATCAGCCAGGCGAACGGCCACGGTTTGCCGGTGGATTTGATGATCTGTCACCCGATGCTTCCCGTGGTCCTCACCCTCTCTGCCTCCGAACTCATCCTCTGGCAAATTCCTCCCCGTCCACCAGGTCCCCTCTCTACCCCGTCGTCCACCACTCTCCGTCTATTCGGCTCTCACCGCGCTGGCGTTGGCGTTGCCCTTCCACCCTATCGGACCGCCGCCTTTTTCCCCTGTCTCCTGTCACCGTATCTTAAAACATCCGACTCGGCAACCGCAGTGCAGCCACTGAGTGTTTTTGTCTCTGAGACTGCAAATGCGCTAGAGTTCTTTTGTATCACCACAACCGGCCAAGTTGTCGAAATTGGGAAGTTTGAGACACGTGTAGAAGACGTTTGCTCACCCTTTCTATGTGTGGTTCCCGCCGTGCCGCCCATGGTATCCACCTCTGAAGTTGCTTCCTCCTATCTTGTGATACGAATCACTTCTGGCCCTTGTGGAGGTCAGGTGTGCATATTACACTTCTTTTAGCTTAATTTATTTAATTTAGCGTGATTACTTTTTCAGTTACTTATAGTATATCTAGAACGCGACATTGAAAGCCTTTCGGCTGTTATCGATGCCAGTGAAATGGCCATGCAATCTGCTACTTTTCAACTACACAAATCCCATAACAGTGCCTTGATGTCTACTTGGTGGGGTTACCACAAATAACTTAGTTCAAAAATGACTCATGCAATCAAACATCTTTCTCAAATGGGCCGTTTAGAAACCGTAAAATTGTCTACCACTGAAATTTGCTTTGAATGGCACCAAAATGCCTTTATCTCGAACCCCACCACTCAAACACCAAAAAATTATCAAAGTAGCCGCGTGCATGTTCTGTATAATAAAAGAAAGGTGTGTATTGCATTTAGATTTACTGCAGAGAATTTTGCTTAGTTTTTATAGACAAAGTGGAAATGCTGACGGTTTTGCTAACCTAGCTTTTACAGTTGTAATCACAACCAGCTGCACCGTAGAATTACTCTAAGACTGAACTGTGGTCTATTCAATTTCAAGCACAACTGCGCCTGTGTTATTTTAGATGTCGCTTTGTCGGGCTGAGACATGGCGCGTTGACTTGAATCCGTGTTTTGTTGTAAACGCGACCCTTTCGGCAGTCGACGTACCTGTCGAAAATATACCCAGTTCATCGGATCCGCACTTTCGTTACAAAATCATCATTGCTTCCAAGAAGGTACATCAATCCAATTACCGCTGCGATGCTACTGTTGTTTATTTTTCTCGTGTTTAGTCCCTTTTGCTGTTCTGAGGTACCATTTCCTATGGTCCTAGGTCGAGGTCAGAATCAACCAATCTCTTTTACTTTATACTAAATTTTAAGTAATTAACACAGACTATAAGCTTTGTACTGCTACCCTAACATCCAGTCTCGATTATCTGTTGTTCTTCTCCTGTGGTCACCAAACTTGACTTGCAATAATACATTAAAGCCAGCCAAGTTAGGCTCGATTATGGTAGCCAGCACAGCAGTTGCTTTGTTATTATTACCCATTGGACGTCAATGCGCAATTAAGGTTCGAATGAAGCATTTTTACTTTTGCGTGTATGCAGTTGTCCGCATCGCGGACATTGAAATCAATCCTGCAAATGTTCCAATCTCTTAACTGCTCCATCCGCAGGTGTCCGACCAAGAGTTGCCACTGGAAATGGGGGTCCACGTGACATCCGTCGGGTGGGCCCCTCCCTCTTACACCGGCAACAGCCTTCGCCACCCACCCTACCTCATAACGACCACGTGTTCCGATGGAGGAACCCGCTTCTGGACCGTCGCGACCGGAAGTAATACCAATCACCAGATATCTGGTCAGTTGTCCTAGGAATTCAAATCTCATTCGCCTCACAGCGCTCACCCTTTTATTGATAAGAATATTTCAGCATGACTTACCGATTTCTTGATTGCATTTCAATAAAAAATTAAATGCGAAATCCTGGTATGTAGTTGTGTTTTTTGAATCCCAAAATTTATTATATTGCATTGACTAGAAACCCACATTGCTCAAATAGCTACGGCCTACTTAGTTGCAAAATACCGGTTCCTCGTTTGCTACAAGTCCTTTTAGCAAACTTATATCAATGTGAATAATGTATATGTCCTGGTTTTAAGTATTGGGAAGTTTTCTAACAATTTTTTTAAAGCTTTGATGTCTTGTTTAGCTTACGTAATATCCGTTAGTATTTTGTCCTTTAGCTGTCGAGTCTTTGCAATGGGTAGAATGGGAACTTCCTATTTCGGAGCTCCACGCCAGTCGGATTTATATTCCCTCCCAACTTTTGTCGGAGGAATTAGCCGTGGAGGAGTCCTGTGAGAGCAGCAGCAATCCGAGCGATCCTTCTCAACCCCAAAGCATGAAGAACAGCCATTCTTATGCCCAGGCATTCGCGGCCGCTTCTGCCTCAAACTACCGTGTTGCCATCTCCTGCGCTAGGCATGCCATGGATCCTATCATGGTTGCTATCTTTGAATGCCAGTCAACTGGTATGCCTTCACCCTCAAACATGTATTTTAAAAAAGCTGAAGAATGTTTAACTGTCAATCCACTCGGTCGAAGAACAAAGAGGTTGTGTAGACAGGGTTGAATGTATGTGGAATTACTGTCGATTTCTGGATGCAATAAAAACAAGCACAATAACATGCTCCTCACATCTGTAAACAAACTACACACCTTCGATTGAACCCGTTTACAAGGCCTAGATTAGAGTTTTGAGTGAATTATTGAATAACCACGTTAACGTCAAACGTAGCCGAAACAATTCAAAGCATAGGTTATTTGTTTTAACCGGAAACACTGACTATTGGTCATAACGAGTGTGTTTGGTTAAATAACTGCTCTAGTTGTGATCAGATGTGTACTAGCAAAGGAGACTTACATGTGGACTTGACATTTGAACTATAACAACAGCAATATTCTTTTCACCTTATTACCAATAGGTGGATCAGAGTGGACGCTGGAAGACATTGTTGCTCCCTCGGAAGAAACTCGACCTTCTTCAGTCGCACCGTCCAAGGTACTGAAGTGTAATTGTTTTCACGTGCATAGCCCAATCCCCGACAATTTTCAGCAATAACTTGCCAAGGTGTCGCGACTATGTACTCCATAGTTAACTTTAACTGGACTGTTGGTAATGTTTGCTGACTTGTGTCTTTGTCGGTGGCAACCGTCAAAAGCTTGTGCGGCATTTAACATTTCGTAAAATAACCACCCAAGAGGAAGGTACCTCTTGACTTACTAAACTAATCAAACATTTCTTTTGCTTCTGCGGAGTAATTCGATGTGCGAAGTGCTGCACTTTCAAGAGCATCTTGTTTCCATGTGAATTGCAATTAATTGCGGCCTCAGCACCATTTGCAACGTCACATCGATATGGAATGCACCCTTTACGAGTACCTTACTAGAATTTCGCTACTGGTGTTTGATGACTATGCAAGGCTTACGTTTCAGTACCAACTAACTCTGGTTTGATGAACTGCGCCAGATCTGCGTGCAACTATGTGCTCCTTTGTGGAGATGAAAGTAAAATTGTTACGGTACGCTAGAACAACATTTTTGATGGTGAATGTCTACAGCCTCGTGGATCTTGATGAGTTTCATCCTCGGTGCATATGCGACATCTCCACAGTGTACTAGTGTGTAAATAAATCATACACGAATACGTGCTGTAGTCAGCGCAACTTGTAATGGCCTTGCTTCTTCGAAAGAAGAGATGCATTGTCTTAGGTGTTGTCGCACGCTCTTTGAACTTATTTCATTGGCGTTTTTTTATTACTTAAACTAACTGTAGTACAGAGCATTAAAAGAAATCACAGCCCACGGAAGTGGTCATGAAATATTACCAGCGCATGCGAGTTCGTATGGTGAGGTGTATGACCGCCGGTTTGTAGTATGACCGAAGCCTTTGTGTGCCTTGACGAGGTCACTGTTTACTTCCTCTGTAGATGCCAGATCTTCAGCTGGACTGGATCAACACAGAGGACGGTGGGTGTATGCTCTCAGTGTTTTGTGACCAAACCCTGGCAATTTTCGCCATTGTCTGCAGTGAGGTGTGCTCACCTGCAAAGCCGCATGTCCAGACGTGTAGCACCAGAACTTCTCTTGGAGAGGTACGTGTTATTCCGTTCCCCCTTCGTATGTTTCCCCCACTGTGAGTCGCATTGCTATGCACTTGTTGAGACGCCATATATCACTAACTGCCCTACAGAGCTGAAGTCGGTGGAAGGACAGAGAGTCAATCGTTTATTCGAGAACTTGACGAAGCCGTGGTGGTCTGTGGGGTTTGCGCGTGTGTATTTATAGCTCGGATGTGTGAGTCATAAATGCGCTAACACCGAGACATACCTTGGTGTGAGGATAATCCAAGATAACTATTCGTGTGGATGAAGGGGGAGTTGAGGATTCGCGCGGCTGGCGCCATACTGCGAAAAAGGGGAACCCTGTGTCGGAGGCGGAGCGACCGGATTAAGGGGTTGAATAAACACGATTCACGACACACTGATTTTGGAGCCAGTGTGTATTGTGGTATCGTATGTAGGAGGTCGCAGCAGCTGCTGCTCGCTTGGTTGTCGTCCTTAATTATCACTTGTAATTGCTGTTCGTCGGTATTTCGTGCGTCCTGTGGGGCGTATTGGGCGTGCTCTAGGCGTTGATCAGTGTGGGGTTTTCGTACTTAGTGCGTATGAAGGCGAAAATACTTTATACCTATGCGCCAGTGACAGGTTTCGCATCCATTGTAAGCATATCAAGCGCAGATGTATTCTTTTTTTTGCGTGTTCTAATATCCCACCCCCAGGTTGGTCTTCGTTGGGCCTGCATTCAGCGCGTGAAATTTGCCTTTGCTGACTCCAGTCTCTCTCAAGCTCATCGGATCCTTTGGCTTCCCGGCGGCCTTCTCGTGGTTAACCACGGATCGGAGATTCATTTGTTTAGCCAGTGGCCAAGTCAAAAACGGCCTGGAACTGAACTGGAAACTGATGTCGCCAACGGAGCCTTCGACAAAGTGGAAAGTCTGGAAGCCAAAAAAGTGGATTTACCACAGCTCTGTAGGCAAAATTGCTCATCCACTTCGTTGATAGTAATGAAAAACTTTGTTTAACTGTTTTGACACATGGATCCATTTTTACTCACTTCTGATTGAAATAGTCATAATGCTTTTGTCTGGTACATGTCGAGGATCTCCCACTGTTTCCCTACCAGCAAGCAAGTAATCTATTGGTTTCACTATTCTCTCATGCTGTGAGAGCATTATCTGTCTAAAATCGGACGCCTTTGCCCATCTATTATTATTATTATCACTAATATTGTAGTCGGGCATCCTAAGCTACCTCACCTAGTAGTAGTCACACTTAATTGTCTCGTGTTCTAATCAATTGATTAAATGAGGGATTAAATTTTAATCACCCACGTAAGGCCGAGAGTAGTTTTTTGGCGATTGTTTGATAAGTAAAACACTCTGTTTGATGACTAAAATCTTAATCGCGTGAACCATTTATCACTGTGATCAACTGCCAGGTGTTTTAACGAAATATTGGATGTTGTTAATTCCTATTTGCCATCTTTTCAGTCTGGCGTCATTTGCAGTTAAACTCTGAGATTCGATCATTGTCTTTCCCAGATCCCCATGATGCTGCGGACACGAGGTATTTCTCGAACTCTTCGCGACTGAAGCCCAAACTGTCGCACGTCGTTCCTCACCTTTCGCTTTCCGAGTGCAGGGCAGGCCAGCCATTTGACCACCCCATGTTCACCAACTACGGTCTCTTTGAAGCTGCCCAGGTATGATCTTTAACGTGTGCATTTACCAGACCGCGGATATTTGCTCATTCGTGCAATGCCAGCCACGTTCTGCGTCGTAATACCAGTTTTTTTCACCATTTCATTCTTTGCCACTCCTCGTGTCTTTGTTTGCTGGTATTCCTAATGTGTTTGCTGATGTTTTTCAGCAAACTGTCATAGCTAAAGAAGTTGAAATTTCTGAAATGTAAGGGGCTAGCTATTTAGTAGTGCCATGTGACTGACCGAATCAATGACCCTGATGTTAGAAATGTGTACTGATTGCCGTGAGAATCGAAACTAAACCCAGAAAATCTGCATGCCGCAGTTCAACCCTCGCCCTCACGTACTCCACGCATATCGAATAAACGCTTCTTTTCTTATTTTTTGAAGCCGTTGGAGTTAGTTCAACGGTTTTCAACTCTGCATTTATTGTGCCTTGTTGACGCGCAGAATTGGTGTGTGCTTTAGAGTGGAAGTCCTTTGAAAAGACATTGAAACGTAAGACAAACGCGCCTTAGTAATTGGGAAATACTGCCACTTGCTGCAGTCATTTAGGATTTTTCCTCAGGTTCGTTCGGTTCTCAGGTTGATGGAAGGAAATTCATTTAATTTCTAGCAAAATGCTTCACACAACCAATGAAATTTTGCATTCGAGTTGCGTAAAGTGCGTTCTCATAGCAGACTGCAATGAAAGTGCTCGTTCAAATTTAGATCGGAGCCGTTGTGTGGTATCGAAATGAGCTGACATTCCCAGGCCTGCACAATTTCAAGGTTTTCTTCTCGTTGTGTGGGGCTTTTTACGCACTTTAGTGTAAGTTAGGTGCTAACCTTATGAAGCATCGGAGCATATATATTATGGCGTAGCCACTCGCCATATCGAAAACTGATCTTATAATTTTTGTCTTCGCTTTGTACTTCCGGGCTGCCATTGCTACACTTAATGGCTGGCCATTAAACTTACAATGTTTAAATGTTGCTTACTTTGGATATTTTAGACGAAAGAGACACTTTGGCTGAATTTAATGTTGCATTCCAAAAACTAGTCTCGCCGGCGTTGTAAATTGCTGCCTAAAGTGAATTTGAGGCGATCCACACGTAGTCTGCCACTTATTAACTTCGAAATTCTGTCTTTGTGAGACTAAGTTGATGGATTTCGCCTAAATTGAATTCCCGTAAGCGTCCATCCTCTGAATAGCTCAACTCAACTTTTAATGGGAAATGAACCCAGGAAATTCTGATGCACCGTAAAATTTCCGAAAATGTACCCTGGGAAACACCGAAGGGTGGTAATGCGGAAGCCACGTGTAAATGCTACTGTATACATACGACATGCCCTCCGGATACAATGTGCAATGTCAAGCCTTTCAGGCAATTTTGACCCTGACATTTCTGGTGCCTTGAGTTATCTAACTTCCTTGACTTTAATTCATACTTGATCATAATAAATGTCCAGAATGACTAGGTCATAGCATAACCATTCATCCTCAAATATGCTGGTGTAGATATTTTGTGATGCGAATGAAGTCTTGCATGAAAATATGGCCGTGAAATGTGACGACAAGACTGTAAAGTGTGCCTCCTGCATGTTCCCAAAGCGTTAAATAATATTTTTTGAAAAAAAAAAAAGTTCCACAGGCCCAAAATGCAAAAAGATAAAAGTCCAGGTACAATGTAGGGGGTTGACCAAGTGTGCTCTGTGTTTGTTGTTTGATATATGGTCATTGTATTTTCGTTGTTTCAACTGCACATCTCCTTTTGCACGCTTTTACAGGCCAACGTTCCATGCATATTAAAAAAAAACCCATCACCCTTCTCCAGTGGTAACCGTCTCACACCTCTCTTGAATGTTTTCCTCTTTTTTCAAGCTGTCGAACCCCCTATTGCCTCAGTTTCATCCCCGTCAGCTGTTCGAGTGGTTGAATTTTGGTCGGCTGCGACGTGTTCAGGCCCTTCTCGTGCACCTCACTCGCTGCCTTTCTGCTGTCGATGTTGCCTGTGGTGGTGGCGGCGAGGAGGCAATGCTTGAGGTCAATTACCGGTGCCATAGCCTTCAGATGAGCCATTTTTTCGCGTCCTAATCGTCCGTTGAGTGTTTTTCTACTTCTAATTCTCCTCTTGTGATTACTGCACTCGTTCTAGTGTTTGCCGCCCTACTGCCGCTTTATCAACAGTCAGATTCTCTAGTGTTCAATTTTATTCGACTTGCACTCATTAGCTCTTATTTGTTACCATTAAGAATGACGTGCCGCTGCCCACTGTTCACACTGCGACCTCTGCCCGTCCTCCTGATCTCGAAATACCGCCACTACCGCTCTACGTCCTCCTCACCTTGGATTCGCTCAGCAGTCATCGCGCTACCACAAAGTCCCCATTCGGTGGCATGGACCACGTCGATACATCCGTGACCAGTTACAGTCAGTTTTGTTGTTTGAAATATTTGCATGCTCAGGTCCCGAGAACTGCTATAACATCCAGGTCTACTCGCTTCACAATACTCTAAATTTGTGCGTAACTTTGTAACCACTAGCCGAGATCATCGACCGCAAATAAATTGGAAGTGCGATTTTAGGCTGTTTTGCACGGCAACAACCAAATGTTCTTTAATTGCGAACGGTACCTCTCCAGACTGGTTCAGGCGCATAGTTGGGCAAAAGGACTGACACTTGTGTCCATCAGATTTCCCGAACTTCAGTGATCCAAAGGACAATGGTCCGTCAGGCTTAAATTGAGATCATGGAAATAGCTGAATCGCCTAATCTGTCTGTCACACGAATGGTCTCTTAATGTTTCATTTCTCCGACCACAGTAAATCAGCAATGGTGCGTGCAATGTAGAGTTTTCCTTTTTAAGTTTTAGTTAATTAAGATATGATGCTGCGACGCAGTAGGTTCCCATTAGCACTGTGTTAAACCCAAGCATTGATACCTCATGAGTTCAATTTCCACAAAAGTCACATTCCTCGCTGGGTTGGTTGAAGTAGTCTAATTAGGTTCTAAATCTTTTTCAGATGGGCTCGACTTTACCGATGATGGCCCGTTCAGCTCCCTGGATGACGAAGTACGTTACCCATTTTGTTTCTTACCACCCACTTTCTTCGATCATGTCTACGTTACTAGTTACAGTGCCTTTTTTGCAGCCAAACTTTGTGCTACAAACTTCGTGACGTAGTAACATCAGTGCATCGTGATTAAGGTAGGAGAAAAACACCCAAAATTGAGCATTTAATGACTCTGTCGTATTGTGTTTCTGTACCTACATCACCCGTCATTGCTGCAAAACTACTCCGAATTTCCAGCTCGCCGCCTCTCTGAGTGGGGCTGAGGATGTACCCGTGTCTGATGTTGATGCTACTGCCGGCGCGACTGGCGCTTTATCTCAACCTGATCATTGGCGTGCCTCGCTGGAAGCTCTGGGCTACCTTCACAACGGCCATCCTTCCAACCCGTTGTGGGATCCAAATAACCTAGATGACCTCTATTCGCTCCTTAAATTTGGTACTGAGGAGGCCCAAATCTTGTCCGATTTGTAAGTTAGTTGTTTTTTTTGTCGATAGTTTTATTTGTTGCAAGCGGAATCGCAATATTTTGTACCAACGGATTCAACTTAGCCGTGTTAGTTATAATCTATGTGGAAGAATACCTGGAACCTGGGATTTTTTTAACCTGTAGATTGTCCAGGTACCATCTTCCAGGACTTTCGCGTTTGGATCAAATGTACCTTCTGGGAATCGCTGAGTTAATGGCTAACACACGAGCCGAAATCACCGACCGACTCTCCGGAATCTCGGCTGCCGTCCATCAAGTTTTGCCCGATAGGCATGGTGGTAACGGATTCTCTTCGAATGGCATATCTGGTACGTGTTTTTTTTATCGTGAGGTTGTCGTTTACCCTAGGCAGAGGGGTTGTTAAAAACATTTCCCGACCTCTAACTTCCGAGTCAAGTGTTCCTTGGGACATGGTCAGAGATGGCTCTTCTAGTCACTCATATTGTGAGAAATCTCACGACACCTTTGTGCAAATTCAATTTTATTCTGATTAATATGGCTCCGTGGAGGGATAACCGCTGTTGGTGGTGCGGTGTCACCCTCTGGGAATGCACTATGCCTTCGGGTGAAACTGTCGACCTATCGTAACTTAACAAGCCTGTTGGACGTGGCCTGGGATCCTACATTATCATTATTGATCTTGTCAAATCTTGTGTTACATCTGTCGACCTTATAAATCCATCAGACTGTTCAATTCTTCCGTCTGTTGGTGGTCATCCCTGTTCATGGATGAGCAAAAGCTTTTTGGTGTTTGCTTGCGTGTTTTTCGTTTCCCAGGACGTTTCCAAAGCAAATCTTTTCTAACAAAACATTTTGATTAACCATGATTAAAAAAGGTTTGTGCTGATATCATGCTCCATTTTTTTTTTAAAATTTGGGTCTGATTAGGTAGCACAATCGCGAGGTTTTTGGGTTTTTGTCTTGCTTGACGGTGAGATAGTCCTCTAAGAGTTACGGCCGAACAGTCCTCGTTAACTGCGCCAACAGGAAGCAGGCTACGTGGCATCCTATCATTGCGAAACGAACGTGATAATCTTCAGTGTTCTTTAGCTGCGACATTGTCTCATGCTTTTTGAAGCATTATTTGCAATGGCCTCAATAGGGCCCGTTCTGGTGGGCCGAGTTGCCTTAGATTTTGAAGTGCCAGAATAAGTTCGTGGCAAGGTCTCCGCGTAAGTGCAATCTTTTTCGAAGTCACGTTGGCGCGGGGTGAAAATCTTGATCCCATTGATTATCTTTTACCATCTGTGCGTTGCCAGTTCTGATGTCCAAAATGTCTCACCGAATTTGCATACTCCCAACATTGTGGAATCTTCTTCTGCATTGAGACATTTTATGCACTTTAAAATTTCTTTTGCTCGATAGACTTGGAACTGGATGAATGCGGTTTGCGGTTTCTCATGACAATGCGCCTCTTTTCGTACCTGTGTGGGACCTTGCCTCCCGGCAAAAGAAATCAACTATTGGTGAGTTTAACTGTTGCTGTTCTGTTGGTGGGCTACTTAAACGTAGGTGTGTGTCTTCTAAATACCGACTTCTATCCCTACTATTTAGTTTCATCAAGTGGCATGCAAGGCCATTGGTGCGTCTTTGCTATTGCGTTAATCTCAATTACACCACACTATCGGACGCTTAAAGTGGTCGCTACCAAAATATTTCCTCCAACATGCTTGGATGTATTTGTTCATTTGTGTGTTCATTTTTATTTTCGGTTTCACTTCCTAATCGTGTGAGCTGCCCGGGAAATCATTTCCGTTTTCATTTACAGAAATCGGGTCTAACAAGTCGAAGTTTCGTGTGGGCGTTCCACTCGGAAGCCGACGAGGTTCTGCTTAACTTTCTTCCTTCACGGAAGCATCAGCGTCAGCATCCAGCAATCGATTCCAGCGGCAACAACAGCGGCCTTTCGTGGTCAGAATTTAAACGCTATGGCTGTGGCTGGTGGCTTCGCAGTGAGGCCGCCCTAATGCAATGCTTGGAAACGGTAATTGTCAATTATTCACTCCAATTGCATTGTATAGAAACAGTTTAACTTATTACAATCAGGCTTTACCTTCAAGTCCACTTTAAACTTTACTCGAATTAAGTGACGCGTTTATTTCTGGCGTTATTTTGAATTTGATTAGCATGGGCGATGTTTCTATCTTCCTTACGTTGCATCAGTAAGAGGTTGACAGGTTACTGATTATTTGTTTTTAATGGTTATGCAGATACCAAATCCATGCTTGAACATTTTTCTAATGTTAAATGTGTTGTGGGCCCCAGCAAGTGGCCATGAACCACGCCGGGGCCACTGAATTAACCCTGGCCCGATTTCGATTGCCTGATGCCCGCGATGAAGAAGAAGTCCCGAGAGGACGGGACACAACCGTTTACTTCAGAGCTCAACCAGAATTGGTGTCGTTGTGTCGGGTTTGCGCGTGTGTATTTGTACCTCGGATGTGTGAGTCATAACTGCGCAAACATCGAGACCTACCTTGGTGTGAGGTTAATCCAAGATACATATACGTGTGAATGAAGGGGAGAGTTGAGGATTCGCGCGGTTGTCGCCGTGCTGCGAGAAGGGGAGCCTTGTATCGGAGGCGAAGCGATCGAATTAAGATGTTGAATAAACACCATTCACAACAAATGCTTTGCGTCCTAGTATTGTTTAATTAATTCTGAGGGAAAACAACTTGCCTAAAAACCGTTTAATCTTTTTTTTGCTTCCACAGGTGGCTCGGTCGGAGTTTTTGCGCACAAAAGACCCCATGGAATCAGCAATTTTCTATCTCGCGATGCGCAAGCACACAGTGCTAGCAAGTCTTTTCAAGTACGCATTAGTTCTACTTGCAAGCGGGTTTTTCTCTTGTCTATATTTGGCTTGAGTTTCTAGCACAAAGAATGCTCCAAATATGAATGCTTCGTCTCTTAACGACTTTGTCAATACCTTACATTTGATTCAAATCAGATCGCAGTACACGATCAGCAACATGGTAGTACACTTGATGTCTACCATATTGTTGAAATGAAAAGGAGGGGGAGGCGTTTAATGGCTATCAATCTCAGTCTGGATGTTGACGCGTCTAAAAATGATAGAGTAGTTTATTATTGGTGCAGTCTGTGGTCTTATTCCTCTGTGTTATTCTCTGTTAGTATTGTTAAAAGGCCTCTTCGTTATTTTTCACTTGGTTGTCGATGTCTCCATGCCTCATAAACCGGCGCCCCAGAGTTTATGAGTTTGGAACGACTACGTTCATCTTCAATGCCTTCTGAGTTATACCTTTTGAAATTGTGCCTTAGATTGTTAAGCGCTCTTTTTAATGTACTTCTCAGGCGATTATACCTTAATGGAAAAAATTCCTCGTTTATCCAGGAGCTTGACTTGAGTTTTCCTTATAAACAAATTAGTAGCTCTACGAATGCGATTTATATTTCGGATTCTTGGCTCTAGACGCAAATTTAATAATCCTTCCTAGGTTGTAGCCAGGTTAACAAAGGAGTGTTCAAACGTGTTGCCTTCAAAAGCTGACTACAACCGTCTAAACGCGATCCGTGTGTGCATTGAATTTTCGTTGTACCCTGATTTTTGACACATTAATGATTTGGCTTTTGTCGCTGCCGTCAATGTTTTTTCTCTGTTTTGTTGTGTTTCCTTTAGGTCTACCGGTAACCGAATGTTGGAGAACTTCTTCCGTTCCGACTTCTCCCCTGGCTCTGCGGCCTGCAGACAAGCCAAACTCAATGCCTTTCGTCTGCTGAGCCAGCACAAGTACCACCAAGCGGCTGCTCTCTTTCTGGCCGGCGGGTGGCTCGAGGACGCCATCAAGGTGTGCGTGGACTCCATAAAGGATCTGCAGCTGGCTGTCGTTATCGCCAGGTAAGAATGACCCCCCATCATTGGCATCCAAAGTGACCATGGTTAAGCTTTCCTCTTCCACATTTCCATTTGTGTTTACATAGAAGCGCTTCGTTAGTAGGCACTCTCAATTATCATTCATGTCCAAATAACGCTTCTCATGGTTTTGTGGGATGATGCCTGTTTGAGTAGAATGGAAAGCGATTTATCAAGTGGTCGCAGTCGCTATCTGTTATGTTTGCCCGTAACAAAGAGGAAACCACTCAAATAACGGCACCAGATCCCTTGCTGAAGCTGGAACCGACCTTCCCAGGCTAGTGCAAGAACAAGACCAGAGCTCGTGTAGAGAGCTTTATCTACGTCAGCCACATGCAGAGAAGTCAGTGAACTCGAAAATGAAAACGAAACTAATTCAAGTCAAGGTTGACCTTGACTTAATAAAAGCGTAACAAAACAAATGTTAATAAATTAATGTAAATAGAATCAGAAACCAATCTTGGGGAATCGTGGATCCCCTGTACTTTGAACATTTAGTGCTGACTTTGATTGAGGCTTCTGACGACGCCTTGATCTCACACTTATTATTTGGAAGTAGCGTGTCTGTTTAGCGATTGTTTAAAGTTATTTCTACTTTCAGACTGCATTCGCTGTATCCCGGGGTTTCGGCGTTCTGCGAGGGCACTGCCTCTCCCTACCACAAATTTCTCCGTGCGCATGTGATCTGCCATCAAGACCCCTACCTCCGGAGTATCGCATACTGGGTTCTAGTTAGTTTCCCTTTCGTACATGTCGAAGCAATTTTGCGTCTCGTATTGCTTTCATGGTTGATTTACATGTGTGCTGGTCCACTTAAAAACTTGCTCCAGTTCAAACCTCAATGCCGAAATAGGTTTAAGTAGAATCGATTTTGCTTAATTTTTGTGATTTTTTCCCGTTTTTTCAACACTACTTTGTTTTCTATTTGATAACGTTAGTGTTTCCGCTACTTGAAGAACATTCCAAATTTAATTATTAAGTCTCTGCTTGTCCCAAGTTGATAATTGATGCGGCAGAGTTTGAAAGGCTCTTATCACCAGTTGTGAATGACTTATTATTTTGCAAAAGTAAATCAATCGTATACTTTTTTATCAAAATTATTTCGAAGCACTTCAAATGTTCCTCAAAAATTCTATCCTACCTTTCTTTGTGAGTTCCAGTTAAAACCTCAATGCAGAAATGGGTTTAAGTAGAACCGATTTTAACTAATTTTAGTGATCTTTTTTCTAAATACTACTTTGTTTTCTATTTGATAACGTTAATGTTTTCTTTACTTAAAAAAAGTTCCGAATTAAATTGCCAAGTCTCGACTTGTTCCATGTTAATAAGGAAGGCGGCAGAGTTTGAAGGGCTCTCTTATCAACAGTAGTGAATGACTTATTATTTTGCCAAAATAAAATCAATAATAATTTTTAATCAAAACCATTCCGAAGCGCTTGAAATATCGCTCAAATATTCTATCCGACATTTTTTTGCTAAATTCTTGGTGAGCCCCTTTTATCACTATAATGGACACTTCCATTGACAGATCCGCCGGCCTTTCGGTACAACAGTCGAGTAAGGCTACTTAGTAAATGCAGCTTGTCCCTCTGTATTAGCGTTTACGTTTGTAAATTGAGATTCACAAAGCCACGACAAATCTTCACGTTTTTAGTTAACGACACCTGCATGATTCTAGACGAGTAATTTTTACGCCTATTAATAAATCGCCACCTTTGGAGAACATAGACAAAGACAAGGCCATGGGCGCGGCAAAAATTTGCAGCACATTTAAAGGTGAATGAGCCATTATGTAGGGGCAGTTGAAACGAATACGAAAAGTGGCGTGTTGAGGTTCATTTGGTGTCGTGCTATGCTCCAACACAAAATGCAATGGAACGTCGGCTGATGTTCCCTTCATTTCGCTAAAAATTGGACCAAGGCCCGCTTCAGCCTGTCCAAATTCACTGCGGTTGTTAGTGTGGGGAACAAACGCTTGATTGATTGCGCGTTGCGTGTAGAATTCGTAGGTGAATCTGGTGACATTGTCAGAGGCGATAGTTCCTGGAATTCCATGCTAACTTGTGATGCCATAATAATTTGGAAATTCACTGGAACAATCTCCTGCCACTTTATTTCGACCTCAACCACCATGGGGTACGAAATCGCATTGATGGGCCTTGGCTTCTGTCGCTGGGTCCAAAACGTGAGTAGTCTCGGGGGATTGACGGTAGTCTGCTGGCATCGGGTGCAGCCTTCCTCATTTGAAGAGTGCCACTCCATCATAAGAAATGTGTGCTCGGGGCTTCCGAGTACAGACACTTCCTCTTAAGAAGCTATTTAGGCAAGTCAATGCACTCGTTCGTATTTTGGCGCTTTTTTTTCTCATAGACCTTAGTACGTTTGATGTGTTCATGCTTGCCATATCCTAATGACGGGTTCTATCTCGCCTGTGGTGGGTTACGAAAATCAGTAGAATGTTTTTCTTAGTCATAAAACTTTTTTTAGTGTGTTGCTTCAAAAATGACCTGTGCATATGCTCAATATGTAGGCTACACCAACACACATCTAAGAAATCATTTCCTTCCAGTAGGTTTTACATGCAAAACTTATCGATTTTTCTGCGTCTTTATGTCCAGATGGAACCCCTGAACGCACTTAAAACCCTTTTGCAAGAGCCCTCTCTTCGAGCGGATGAAATGTCTTCGGTCAGATGTCGTCATCCCTCTGGAGGTCTTTACTCCATAGTCGATGAGGTCGACTTTGAGGTGTATCCATCGGTATTTAAACTCTACACTTACCTCCGATCGCACCCTCTCGTGCTGCGCCAGCTACGTCTGACGGACGAAAGCAAAGCGGTACGCAATCAGCTGAATGAGTCGGACAGGCGCCTGTACTTCCGCACCGCCTACCACTACAATGCCATCGGGTGTCCCGCCCTGTCACTGGAGGTTCTCAATCGACTGCCGCTTTGTTCCCCAACCAACACTGTCCTCTCGAAGAAGGTTGACGAGACATCGTCTGAATCCGTGTAAGCCAAATATTTTGATCACAGCGAAACTAAATGCGCCATTTATTGTTTCCTTTATTGTAAAAAATAAATCTAATGCTCAATCGACTAGTACAATCTTTCGGCGTTCTCATGGATACAATGTTACCTTACTGTGTTTTTAGGCTATCTACGAAAGACACAAATACACTGTTTGGTCTAATTAAACGCGTCGAGGCACCACCAAGAGAGACCAACTTCACAATTTCCTATGATGACATTGGGGACAACGTAAAGTGCACTTTCGATGAAATTGCTCCGTCAGTTTCGCCTTCTGAATCCAACGTTTTGAATGCACCCTTGTGTCATCAGGGCAAGAATTCTACTAATCTAGGTATAACTTCTCAGCGTAAGCTTTTTGCTTTCTGTTTAAGATCTACGGTGTTAGCTTCAAGTACAATTATTGCGGTATTATGTGCTTGTGTGTAATTGTACGTATTTTCCTGCAGCTTTTTTCAAAAACGGATTTGATCAGGTTCCTGCTTCCATTAATAAATGCTTATATCCTCTTCCAGGTGATGTTCTTGCCAGGCTTGATTTAATTCACCTTGACATAAAGGTGCTCGTCTGCCTTCGTCTATTTTCCAACGAACTATGCGGATTTTCAACTTCCCTTTCGGTAGGCCCCTGGTGCTTTCTGAGAGGACCTAGCTCCGTCTTGTGCAGTAAACGTTGCTCCTACTTGCGCCTTTTTTGTAGACTGAGGGGAGCCGCATGCGACAGCATATTTGGATTTGGCTGGAGAACGTGGTTGCGATCATAACGGACATCACAAATATTCTCAACAATGGTGCGTGTTGAGTGTTTTGTCTGGCTTCGTCATTTTGTCAGCTTGTGTCACTTTCCCATTGCTGGTTACTTTAATTATTTAAAGTAGTTTATGTTTTCTTCATTTATTGGGAGTTAATTAAGGCTTTGACTTCGTTTAAGAAATATTTGTACGTAGTAGTGTACGTGGAACTTACCCTGCCAAATTGTTTCGATTTGCCGTAATTTCGCTTGGTTAAACCCAAGTCTTCCTTGTCCTGTCCTAGTGTAAAGCCGTCCCCTCAAAAAATCGAGGTCGTACCTTATCAAACTCTATCAAAGAAATGGATATCCAGTTTCACTTAAACGTCTAAGAACCCCTGTAACCCATTATTCTGTTGGCATCATTTTTAGACTCTAGTTTTAAACATGTGCCGTGGCTCACAAAGTCACCTCCTCGTTTCACCTCTGAAGAGCAGCCCACATTTTTGCCACTTGACGATCACGGTGTTGTTGAAGATGGTGAGGTGGTGGTATCTCCGTGCGGCCAAGTAGAGGATTTGCATGTTTTTAACTCCCACCGACGTAAGTGGATAAAGGTAAGTGATGATTGACTATGATTATGACGTGCTCAGACGTTTAACAACTCGAACGTTCTGTGATTTAGCCATAAATAAATGTAATACCTGATTAATTTTTTGGTAGAAAACGTGTGTAACAACTCATAACCGTAAAGCGTGCTTACGTTATCCCCAAAGATGTGTACGAAATAGGAAACAGCGGAACGTCACAATATGCTGTGTTGCATACTCAATGATAATGACACACATCTCGTGATACCTTTGAGGTCGATTATCCACCTAGGAGTACGTCTTACCCAAAAACTCTAATGCAAATGTACATTTGGTCTAATTTATCATTGATTTGCGTGCTTTTTCATATGGTACAAATATTTCCAGCCCTTTCCCCAGCTCCTCCTATTAATTTAATTGCCGTCTGTAACTCCCGAAAGCGAATGCACTATGTTGCAGTTGGCTTTTGATAATTCGACGCCGCCAGCTCATGCACACAGACATATTTTTCGAATGCAAAATTATCTTCGGGAATTAATCGGTGCGCTTAATTGCTTTGCTGAGTTTCCTCACATGTCTTTGGGTACAACGTGACGAAAATTTGACTCCCTGAATGCTAACTCTTCTTTTTTACGAGATACCTGGTACTACCTTCGGTTGTTTTCATGCAGTGGTAATAACTACATCGAAGAGAAGCACACACCGAAGGTGGTGATGCGTCTCACAAATCATTGCCGATGGCTCTTGTGGTCATCATGCTCTCTTAATTATAGTATTAACCCAACCAAGAAGTCCCGTTTCTTGATTTTGATATACCAGTACTCGCGATGTTGATCACTGTACCCTCGGAATAGCAAATCAACTTTTTGTCAAAAACACGAAAAGTAGATTTGTTGCAGGATAGCTCGAATAAACCTAAACGCATTGTTCCCATATCTTCTTGCTTCTGTCAGTCAAACCTCTCCATCCTGCAAAGTCTCATTAATTTCTGCAATCTCCACGGCGATACGGATGTCAATCTCTGCATAGTTCGTCTTGAACTCGTTCACCTCATCATGGAGACCCTGTCCGGGCCTACTCAGTGCTCCCCGTCCCCACACAACTGTCTATCTCGTCTCGTGAAGTCCGTGCCTCTCTTTCGTGCTGTTTACAGTCTGCCACCGGATAACGTCACCCGCCTCCTTCCTCATCCATTTTACATCATCAAAGTACGTTCAGTGAACTCGTATCTCACTTGCAAAAGTGTTGATTGAAACATTAGGACGGTGTTTTTTTAACTCGTGAGTCGTCATATCTTGCGACCATGATTTTACGATTCCCTGCCATGTTCCCTATGGTCCTAGGCTTCGCATTTAAACATTTGGTTTTAACTCATGAAAATCAAAATGTAAAAGTTACTTTGACGTGGTGTCTTTAACTGTTTGAATACGCCGAATTGCTCAGTTTTTGACATTTGTATTTTTACCGGTAACAACAGCGATTGTTCCAGAATTTTTTAGTTCGTACTTTTGCACAAATACTTGAACTCCGCAAGTGGTTACGAACTCGCTTTTCTTTACCTCGTAACTATCCTAATTGTCTTCGTATGGCCTAGGATTGTCTATTTATCTCTTAAGAAGTAAATAAACCCCATAATTTTTCACGCGTAAATGACTGATCAAGCGTAATCCAAATCTCATTGATGTTCATTTTGGTTGCAAACAGTCAATGTAATATCCCCTGTTTGTCACTCCATTTGATCTTCTAGAGTCTGATCGATGACATAAATGCACTGCTCGCCGATATCCCCCCGCCCTACTCAAACGTCCAACCTGTTGTCGCGCTTGGAAGAAGTCGTTGTCCATCACGATGTGATGGTGATCTGTTTCGTCGGATATCCATTTTGCGGAATCTCTGTTTGTCACTGTCCGCCTGGGCACTTCAGTGTCTCTCACCCGGTGGTTGGCGATTGGGTCATCGTAGCAGCTCGGGCGTCGCTGTTCCCGCTAGCCTCATTACCAGTGGATCGCGTAAGTGCACTCCCAATCTAGTACGAGGTACAATGCCTGGAAGTCATGTAGACATGTCCCATTTCTACGCCCTTTTGGGGTTACGTTCGAGACTGTATTTGTGTTCATGGTCGACCAATGTCCGTTTCAACAAGGCTTTGGGTATCAAATTGTTTGTCAGTATCCCTCAGTTTATGGAGGTTTACATTTCTACACGTTCACCATTTTGGTTGTCGCATGTTTGGTCATTGCTCTGAAACATATTTGCGGAATGGGGTTGCATCAATTGGTAATTGGTGAAGCCGTCTCCATTTGCCCCAAACACGTGTTCGTTCGAGTTCTATTGAAGCTGCTAATTTTAAAATAGAAGGCACCTGTCTCTTGGTTTTATCGTGATACACGAAGGTTCCTTTACCCCTTTTTCTAATGAATCACGTTCTTTTAGTTCTGCTACTTTGATTTTGATGATGTCCTTCAACACAAAATGTTTTACCAGACATGTTTGAATGTAAATTAATTCCTTGCGTTTAAGCACTGTTCCTATCCACAAAAGTGTGCCTGTAATACCAAGGTGTTTGTGAATTGGCTGGTTTTTCCAGCACTTCCTAGCCATGAAGTATTCCACGAACGGCTTTTTCTCTTTACACGTCAAGTAAGTGTCGCTTTGTACTTGCGTCCCTTATTTTTCTACTTTACAATTCGTATCTTGAAAGCGTATTTGCTAGTTTGCTTGGTTAACTTGTTGTTGCTACGATGTACCTACTTAAACCGGCTTTTTTCCCGTTAAAAGAACTTTTTAGTAGTTGTTATAATTCTATCGTCCGTCTTAAGTTTACCTATTTAGACTGTTTTTAATCGAACGTTTTGTGCGACCAATAAGATCTTTGGTGTTATTCCTCACGTTAAGCCAATAACAAATGTTAAACAAATTTAATCGTCTTTCTTTTCAAATCCTGGATTTCACGTCACTTAGTTTAGCATGACACCTCCAAATTTGCCCGGTAAGTGCACTTGAATTTAGCTCGCTGAAGTGCCGCCTAACCGCTCTTGTTTCGTTTTAAACAAAAATGTTTGGGTAGAGTTAAATGGGTCCGACTCGCATAGGAACTGACTTCGATGTTTTGCTCGCCAATGTAGCAAATCTAGTTTCGATTCTGTTTTTTTTATAACCACTTTATCTGCTTTTCAGTGGAGCACTTCTCAAAGCATCCGACGCCGTTAAGTCCGAACACCAAGCCTTGCGATTGGCCAGGTATGAGTAGCTCTTTTACTCCACCGTGTGTTTAGCTTTTATCCCAGAGTTTCATTTCGCACGCTTTTCTCTTGACTTGCTTCCTTTCTGTTGTCAAATCCAGCTGTTTCTATAAGATAGGTAATTTGCTGTCTAACCGCCTGCACCCAAGTGGCCATAGTGATTTCAGCTGCTAAGGATTCAACAATTGTTCATAGACATCAAGTTAGTCCAAGTGTCACAAAATTCTATGATTGTTTTCTGGCCCATTTGTATCGCGCATCGTTAATGACGGGCACCGGAAGGCCATGCCACGCTTCCTCTTTTGGCTGCCCGAATCTAATCGAACGAGCAACGGCCATTTATTGTCTGATTCCACCCATGCCTTAATCACCACCACGAGCTTCGAAATTGACTTTGGCGTTTTTTATGCAAAGTCGATGGTCAGTCTAATTTCCAGATAAAAAGGCGATTTTTAATTGGTTTTGCAATTTATTCTGTGGTTTAAAGCTCGCACCTTGTTTTTTTTTAAAAAAAAGATGACGGGCATTTATCACCAGTTTTTCTTGTGAAGAATAGGTTACCAGATTGTCATCTAAGCAATAAATAAATAAATTTCCGTCATCACCTTGACCACGTAACGCAAATTTCCCGCTCAACCAAATAATTTTTTTTTCTGTTTTTACAAATTACTCCGAGATTCATTTTCGCCTTTTTTGCCAAGGTATCTCTGATCTCGTGTGCGCCAAGTCCGATGACTGCCAGGCGGTAAATCGGCAGCACTGTTTGCTGGGCGTGCTTGCCGAGGCGCTGCTGGCCGTCTACATGGGACTGGGTTTGTGCGCGCTCTACTCGCGGGACTGCTCGGCTTTGTACCGTCTGGCCAGCAGTGCCCGTTTGGGCGACGCCGCCATCTGGGCGCGTGTCTTCGGTGGTGGCTACAGGGCCAAGCCAATCAGACCACCGGCCCCACTCTCCCGGTCATCATCGCCACCTGCGACGTCATCGACACACGCGCCTCTCCTCGCCTCAAAGTTCGTCTTATTGTGTTTTTTTTTTATTCACTTAAACTGTGTGGTATGGAGGACCGTGTTCACATAGTTATTGTGTAGGTAAAGCAAACTCTTGTTTGAATCTTATGTTCGCGAACTTCACTTAGCATCTTTAAAGTCACCACAAGGCAGCTTTTTACGCAATTTCGTAATTTACTTTCAAGCGAAGCAAAAAGCGTGATCACGTCGTTTAGTTTTGATTCTTAACCATGATAAACGCCACTTTTGGAATCCTTGAAAGCTTTGGAAGTCTCTCTTTGAGGAAAGAGCAGGAGGTAGTCTTTGAACTTCTATCTTCCATCGTCCACTATTGCCGAACTGTCTTTGGAACGTGTAGGCAGTAACTTACTTTGTGTTCAGGCTTTTAGTACCACCGCCTTCTTCATCTCAGACGAGTCCGAATGCCAGTCCTTCGTCTCCCACTTCTCCTGCTGCAACGGCGAAATCGTCCCCTCGCGCCAAGACATCTCATCAAGGTAGACAGCTCTCTTAAACGTGTTCTTTTTTGGTTTGGATATTTTTGTGAATCGTATGAATTGTCACCTTTTTCGTGAACATTTACTGCGTTTCTTTGCTTTTGTTTGCTGATGGCTCCTTGAACTTTTTAGTTATTGTGTTGGTGTTTTGCTGGTATCACAGAATATTCATTCATAAATTTCTATCACCCGCATTTCATGTACCACTTTTAATTGATGAATTTTACACTTTTCCATAACGTAACGCTTAGTCTTTGTGAAACCGCTCTTTCAAACTGGAACAAGCATCCCACCGGGACTACCAGATTGTGTCGGCCTCGTTACGCTGCGTAGATATTTTTAAGTTACATTACTCATGACTAATGTAGGCTGTGTTGGGCAGTAGGGATCGTGTGTACTTGTAATTGAGCACGTGGCCGAATGGCCCAATGGACGGTATTGCTGACATGGAGTTGAAGGGGACGGGGGTAGGCTCACAGAGGCGCACGGGTAATGGGAGGGCAGTAAACATGGAGTAAGGGGCCTGGCGATACGGCGACTAGCTTGATGGGTGTGAATCTTCACAACTAACTAAAGGCGCAGGTTTATTTGACTCTAATCTAACGCATCTTGTTGAAATCGTTTAAAACCAGCTATAATACAGCAAACACATGTAAACTGGGTTCAGAGTTTGTATCTTCGTCTGATAATAGCTCAACCGAGGTGCTCACTTTGTCAACACGAATTGGTTATTCATTCTGCAACCTTCCACAGGGTGTCCGAAATCTACCTCGTCTGCACCACGTCGGGACGAGTGGTTTCTGCCGCCACAATGTTCCATTGTCAAATGCCTGCTCGAAAAAGTAAGCTTCCTTCATGTTCCCAGAAGCGCTTTTTTGTTAGTGTTTGTAACCAATATCTTCCACATTTTTTTCGTGATTTGTCTTAATCTAACTACTTTGGAGCTTGTAAGCACACAACCCTGAATTAGTGTGGTTCTTACTCTACATGATTTGCCACCTATTGCCTAATAGCGTTGCGATTCAGCCGTCAGAGCCAGCTTTGAAAAATTATTGACCTACCTGCTTCCAAAATTGTACTTTGGTTTCTTGTCGATCGGTGGTACTTCATGGTGTAGGTGTCGATGTCTGTGTTCACCATGTACCGCTGTCGTAAAGCCGTGAGTGCAGTCATTATTAAGGCAGATGACACGAGCACTCCAACGAGAATGTTGCCCAAATTTCTACCTTTTTAGCCCAAGAAATCAGAAGAGAACCCCTCAGATGCGGCCTCTATTTACGACACTGATGACTCCAACTATGGCAGTTATGTAGACTCTCCGAAATGCAGACGGCGTAGACACCGACGTCACCGACGTGCTCCGAAGCATTTGTTGGCCGCCGCAGAGGAATCCCTCGAGATCACTGAGGTTTGTTGTTCGATATGATAGACATTTTTCGGAATTTATGCCATAATTTACACAATTGGATGTAGGTCTGCCGTCATCATAGTCTAGTTTGCCCTAAGTAGGGCCTCGCATGGCCAATTTCGTTCAGTGTGGTTGTCACTCGTTCCTGACGCTTTGTAAACCACGCTCGTGCTGTTGAGTCTCCGGCGTTTCGGTCTATGCCGCAGCAAATTCGTGACCCCGACCACTAGCACCACCAACCTGGAATTGCCCTTGAAGGCGCCAGTGTAAAACGGCCACCTTTCCGGCCGAACGCCACTGAATGAACGGAGTAAGACAAAACGGCGGAGTTTCAAGCGTTTCTCAAACTGACAAGGCCGATGTGTCCTGTCGTGTTTGTGTGTGTATATTTCTAGTCATGAAGTGAGAACAGCGTTAGTCATAGCGGGGCTAACGGGAGGATTTGGTGGGGCTTGTTAAACATGAAGGGAGAGTCCAGGGTAAACATTGAAGTTCATCGGGGTGGCAGCAGTCAGTAGGCAAATTATCCACATCGGGCCTGCGAGTTGCATAGCAAATTGATAAATTGGGTATCCGACGTGATTTTTGTCACGACAGCGGCGTACCCTACGATCAGTTGAAATCTACGCTCTGGGAGCGTACGCAAACAGCCACTTCGCAACGTGTAAACACAATCTTCTCTCGTGATAAAAATTAAAATGGCAGACTCTAAACGTACTTAAATTTTAGGGAAAATGCATTGACAAGAAATGGGTCTTCTTTAAACGGCTTCCGGATATCGTCTAACATATTTTATCCCGTCTTAAACCTCCGAACAGCTGCCCGATATTGCCAACTTCATAGAAGAAGCAACTAAGCCTACTCGTTTCGCTGAAATTAATACAAGGCTCGACTGTCGATCAAGTTCTTCCTCTCAGAAAAAATAGTTTCTTGGTCTCCTGAGACCGCCCTTTCGACTAGATGCATTCGATGGATTTCTGATCGTTTCTCACTGAGTCTCACGATACTTGGATTAATTTTCTTCAGATCTCAAGTGCCATAAGCCACATTACGGGTACGGACACGACTCTAGCTGATGCACGCTTGTTTACACGTCGGCTCTGTGAACGTGAGGCCTTAAGTGGATTTTAAGCAGACGCAAACGAACTGCAATAAACCTGAAAACAAAAGTCCCTTTTAAAGCTAGTCAAGGTCTTGATCATCACATCCACACGCATCGTCTTCTGCTACATTGCGGCAGGACTGTATCGCCTCTGCGTTCCCGAATCCTTCCCCCCTGAAGTTTTTTTGGTAATGTAAGCCCATTCTTGCTCATTCAGGATAATAAACAACGCGAAAGCTGACATCGAATCACAATGTGCAGCCAATCATCAATCGAGATTCCCAGCTCTAGGCACAACCTTACGTGAATTGCCCAATACCCAAAGCTGGCAAGCATAGCAAGACTCCATTCGTGAAATTGGACGCTTCTGATGCAAGGTCCAATCATGTGCACATAAAACAGTTCGGGACCATGGCCCAACTCGAAAGTTTTTTGTTATCTTCTAACATTAGTCGAAAGTTTCACCTGATCGATTCTCCGTCGAGGTCTACCACCTCTCCTTCCGCCAGTCAAGCGTATCAACTACACGCTCTGGCAGACACATCCACTGGTCTGACCGTTACTTTGCTTGCACAAGAAAATCTTGATCGCTGAGATTGGTAATGGTAGAATCCGCCACAAATCCCACCTCCTATTGGGTTTTTTTTGTCCCGCGACGCTGAAACAGCATACTTACCATAGATGAATCAATTGGCAAATGCGCCTAATCACCGATCGTGCATATCAATTTATTCTATTTTATTTACCATAATTTGAAGGCTGACTAATGGTGCCCAGATATTTATCCTTTTGGATCGGGATCTTTCTCAATGTGTTTTTTAACAATTGCTGCAATGTTCAACTTGCCTATCTGCTACAACTACTTGAAGTTATTAATGCCAATCCAGAAGATTCCTGCAAATAGCTATCTTCTCTATTTACTGCTTAGGGCTCCGATGGTACCGTTCATCAGTCCAGTTCTGGCTTTCCCGATTCCTTCCATTTCAATGCCACGGTCTCATCATCGTCATCAAGCAGCGAGAGTGACGGCAGTGACGAGGACGACCACCACAATCGGCAGTGGTCCCGAGGTGACAGCTATGCCTGGCGTCTGATGCGCCTCGCATTTGTTCGGCTCATGGGGCAGCAGGTTAAGGAACTCATCAACCTGCTTAACCTCGATAATGACCGTAAGTTGTCAATGCCAGCTCCATTGCCGCCGCTGTGTTGTGCTGGATTTTGAAGTATTGGGGTCGGTTAAATGAATAAATGCATTAGGTTTTCTTGAGTGACTTATTTACCCCTCATTTAATTTCCCTCATATTATTATAAGTGTTTTTTTTTCAAAATGAATTTTTCTATTTCCGTGCTAGTATTTTGCCGATTAAAGTGATGGATTATTAATGACTATTTAAAATCGATGCTACGTGAATGCCACTTTTAGTGTAAGATTAAAATGAGTAAAGTGTTTGCGATTTGGTAGAGTGAAATTGGAAACCAATAACATGGTTCAATATTCAGTGACTTTTACTTTAATGTTTTCTGCATTAATCACGCGTTATTTTGCATAGAATTAACAACATACGCGCCTTCATTGCTTCAATATGCTGGCGTATTGAACCAGTGGCTAGCGGGCTACGAGAAGATGATGACAGTTGGCGTTGAGGCAGACGCGAAGGAAGAACTGCGTAGCTTCATCCCCGGTGTGGATTTGTGCAGTCCGCAGCATCCCTCTGACGATGCTCCCGGTGGAGTTGTCTCACGAATGGCGCTTCTCTTGAATCACAATGCGTCACCGTTCCAGTAATTTGTGTGCATATTTAATTGTTCTACTCGGTAAAGAATCTTTAAAGCGTATCGATGGCAACATAGTTACTGTCTTCTGGTTTAACATCAAATGATTTCATTTATACTGTTTTTTTCGCCTTATATGATTAGCATAAGTCGTGTCTACAATGTAATTTTCGTTATCCATTTGACATTTTTGACCGGTGACCTAAGCACATGAACCAACCAAGTCGCTAACTAGGTTAACGTTTGTGCACATCTTTTAAATAATACACTACCGGATGCGTTATAAGACGCTGAAACTGTGACCTTTTGTTAACGTACGTGCTAAATGGACATTTCATGTATCAAAGATAAATGCAGATTCCTTGGTGTCTGCTTTCTTACCTTAGAACTCGCGACCCCTGTTCACTGCCAGTGAAACGCCTCTGGTTCTGTCTACTGGGTCAGCCAACTCTAAGCGAGACCTTTGTCCACTGGATTTACCGCCTCCCAAGTCATCGTAGTCAATCACAAAAGACTACCAAGTGGGAGGACTCGAACCAACCTCCCACGTCGTCTTTTTCTCCAATCACCGACAAAAAAGACTTGTGTGAAAGTTCTCCTACGTTCAGGGGAAATAGCAAGGTTAGCGTCTGGGTGTAGTAACATCATTGCTTTGGAGTATCCAACGTACCGATCGATGTTGCACTTCATGAGTTTTCCAACCACGGAATTACGCGGAAAGGCTTTAAGTACTTGATTTGTAGTCGGCGAAATATGACTAGCTTGCGCTAAATTTGTTCCACCTGGAATTTCGGAAGCATTTTTGAATAATCTGGAGTGAACGATCAGGCGGACCCGTGTGAGTGACAAACACGCTATGAAAAGGGGCGACGTGTGTGTGTAAGGCTGCAACGACCGGGTTACTGGCCGTGAATCAACTCGATCCACTACATGGTAGATGTCATAGAGAGGCCAAGTGGTCGGTCTGCTTTCCTCCCACCTCAATTTACCTCAGTAACTGGCATTGATAAATTCTGCATCCACTGAACTTCGTCTAAAATTAGGCAACTTTTTAAAATTCACCTTTGTGTCCGCATCAAATTTAAGGAACCTGAATAGTAGTGCGTAGTTTAATTTCCAGAGGTTACATGAAACTGGATTTAGTGGCGTTCTGTTCATGCCTTACCTTTAATGTGTCTAAATTGAGCTCATAGTGTGCCCAGATTTGGTAGAACCATCTCTGGCATGTGGAGGTTGTTTAGACTTGCAAATGTGTCGATTCTGGTCATGAAATCATGTTAGTGTGTGGCACTGCACCTATTGCCAATTACTCTTATTAGGAGACGGCGGCGCCTGCTGTCGATGCCGGCGATGCGCAGGACCCACCCCTCCCGACGCTGCACGAATTCCACTCGCAACTCCTACACCGCGAAGCGGAACCCGCTGCGTGTATTTGCATAGACAAAGTAAGGCCTACCTGTGGTGTATTAATAATGTATTATTGGCAACATTGCCGCACTTTTCGCAGTTTTGCTAGGCAGTGTACTTGTGTACTTCCAAAACAGCGTCGCCGGCTCCCAGTCTGTTAAAGCAGCAGCAATTTTAAAGCTGTCGTGGGTTAATTTATGCCTTTTACCTGTTGCTATAGTAGTAGTTAGCCTTCTTAACCTCCCCAGATGTGTTGTATTGGAAAAAGCTACGGCATCAAATTAGTCGGCATACTTAGTCTAACTCGATGTGTTTATGCAAGTAAATCCCCCCTTGCACTAGGGTTGAAACTTGCTTGTACTTATGGTTGCTGAGACGTTAAACTTGGGGATCCTGTTCGAGGTTACCTGGGTTCGCTCCCTCTATCTTTGTAAATGAATTCGAGAAGCACCTATTTCTAGAATTGTTGATTGAGCTGGTGAAGAAAATACATAACTGAAAGCAGGCGACTTTCCATAAAACACGCTGATGTTTTCAAGTGGTTTTATATGTTCTCCCACTCGTTCAGAATAATACTTGGAACCATTTTAGGTGCATGGCAAGTATGTGGCTGTGGCGCTGCCGAAACAGCTGATCGAAATCTCCCTCTCGAATTTCTCAGCAGCTGATTGGTTGTCTGATGACGTTGCGCATGAAAGAGCGTGAGTCAGTGGTTCCATATTCGAGGTGTCTTAATTTGTGTTCACACCCTAATCTGCACATAAACCGGTTTCAGTGTTTTCCTTTTTTATGAAACTGGTTCTTTATGTGGATAACCGGCTCAGAATAGGCGTCTTAAGTGTTACACAACGCATATAAACAGGTAGGGGTCCTTCTAGAATGCATGTACTCGCTGTTAGCTGCAATTAAGTTTCGTGTCCCATGCCCAATGTTCACACTCCACCAAATTTCCGTTGTCGTGATCCACCTTTCAACCTTATCTAAATTAAATCACGTGGTACCGATTTATCTGTTTCCCAAGAAGTTATGAGTCAAATTTGATTGCTTTAACCGCCCAATATGTATCATCGGGGTTGTTTAACTAACCAAAATCAGGCCCTCCAACAAGCACAACGCACATTGTTGGCTTTGACAGCGTGCATCGCCAAAGCCAAGAGTATTTTTAGTCAGGATGTTTCGCCCATAATCCTTGCTCTTGTTTGTTGTAGCCTTCATTCAAAATCTTGCCCCTCCCTGCTTTACAAATCAGCGTCGGATTATGTAGAACGGATGCGCGAATCAAGCGAAGCGGAGACACGAGAAATATTTCCAAAGCCTGGTTCACACGTCGTGAGTTTGTTTGGCTGCTTGTCCATGCTTTTTTAAGCCGACTTGAGGAACAGAAAGAAAGTTCACCGTGTGGCTTTTAGACACTGGATTGATTTGTATAAAACTTCTCTTTAGGCCCTCAAGCGGTCCGTGTGTGGTGTCCAGAAACTGTCTGCGCACCCTCTGCTGCCTTTTTGTAAGTTGATCAACTTCCTGGCACTTTACCAAGTGAATCAACGCTTTCCACACCCCCATGCATTAATCTCTCTCTTATAAAACCACGCCAACTCAGCTTTTCCCTGTTTCTTCAGATCTCTGCGGCACAGCGTCGGGTTCAGTGCATGTTCTCGAGTGGACCTCAGCAGAGCCGGTGGTTTCCACACTAACCAATACCTTTGCACTCACATTCCAGGGTCTTGCGGCTCCCCTTCCCATCGGAGTCAGGGGTAACCCCGTTTCGACCTTGCATATGGACTCCTCCGGCAAGCGGGTGCGGTTCTTTTTTTCAAACCACACGTGAAAACACACGTTGTGCTATTATAAGGCTACGCCACAGCGCAGTAAGACGAATGAGTTCACTTCACTTTTGAGGGTAAATGCCTCCGAAAAGACAAAAATCCGTCTTGTGTAATCCAAGATTGCCCGTTCTCCAACGTGGACACATTTTTTGAGGGTAAAAAATATCCTGCTGACAACACTCGCTACCAACGCCGTGCAATTGACTGTTTTTGCTTTAAAACCATAGACTGGGACTTACAATGGGCTCTTGCTTTAGTGAGTAGCCTTTGTAGTTCAGTGGTCTACGGCAACTGTGCTCCACCTGTCTGGTCTATGCTTTAATGTGGGGATCCTACTCCCTAATTTTACCTCTCTGCTGTAGTTGGTTCCTTTTTTTATTAAGTTCGGCTGCGGCGATAATGCAGGAAACTTTGGTTTGTGGAACCTCGATATTAGTGGATCTAACCAGCATCCATACTTTGTGAGTCCCTTATTACTTTACTGATGCCTTTGGATAACTTTTTGGAGTAAATCCATTGTACCAAAAACGAAAACCGCTGTGTCTAATTGCCTGGTATTTTTTGAAGAACTGTCGTTGTCATGGCCGAGGGATTCTGGACTTCACCTTTGTCCGGGGCACCTCAACGCTCTTCGCAACTGTTGGTATCGGTGGCACACCACTCTTTGTGACCGGGAACGCGACTGGGGCCGCATTTTCTCTCTCCACAGCCGGTCGCAGCAGACACGGCACGCTTTTGAGCGCCATTGCACCCTCGGATCTCGAGGCGGCAAACTTGGCCCTCTGGGACGCTCTAATGCCGCCCAAAAGAGCAGCAGTTTTGTGTAAGGCAGTGTTGCCTCCCTCAGTCTTAACGTCTTCTCGCCTTATAACCTCACAGGGAACTTAATATTTCTTTTAGTTGCTTGATGGTAGCATTCAGAAAAGAAGTGTGGTAACCAAAGTTTGGACAGTTTAACGGTGTTTTTGAACTGGGGTGTTCCTTTTAGCCTTTTCGGAGGCCCCTTTGGACAGCGCGTGTACTTGTGTCGCGAGCGTGCCTTCTGGCTCCAGTGACTGTCTTTTGGTGGTGGGCACGAGGCGCGGTGAACTCATCGTCGTTGACGTTCGCCGTCAACCAGGTGTTGTGTTTGTTAATCAGAATCCCCACGACGGGTTAGCCCTGCGCTCTGTGTACTGCGACAAATCCACCAACACCCTTACTACAACTGGCGCTGACGGCCTCGTAAAAGTGAGTTTATTGGTTCATGAGTGCAATCTACACTACTCGGCCTTGATTCACTTTAGCCTTATTGTTTTCAAGGTGTGGCGTCTCTCCGAGCCGAGTTCTCTATTGGCTACATTCCAACCGGACTGTGTAAGTACTCACGGCTACCGAGCGGCTGCTGCGGCGTCCATAGCAGCAGCGGCTCTGTTTCGTGGCAACCAATCGGCGGCTGTTGCGGCCGCCGCTCGCTCGGGTATTGCGCACATTCTTCCTCTTCCATCTACGTTGTCTGCGACCGATAATGACACGGGTCTTCCAATTCACGGAAGTCGATTCCTGGCTTGTGGCTTCGATGGCTGCATCCAACTCTGTTCTGTAACCCTTAGACCCGAACCCGTGTGGCCACAAAATTAACGCCGACTAATTCCTTTAAGTTATTTTTTTCTTTTTACTGTGATATTGTTCTAAATACGTGCAGAACCGCATAACTACTAAGTACATTGTCGTACTAACATTTTATTAAATACAAGTTATCATTATCTAGACAATTCTATTACCTAATTGTGGCAGGTGGCGGTTTACCATGAGATTTTAAGGGAACCGACAAATGGACTGGTTTGAACAGTGTGTAGCGGCCTAAATTAGCACTACCACAAAACCCTATAGATAACAGCTGGTCACAGCTCGAGAGGAGAGGAGACAGAGTCGAAAGAGAACACGATCGTTTATTTGCGTCACGCCAGTCAGTCAAGTCGCGTAAAATCGAGTAACTAATTTCTGTGTGCGTATCGATACGCGTGCGTTACAGGCGACTGCTAACAAAAAATCAATAACAAAGAGGGCGAGTCATCGATGCAGTCGGGCAAGCGCACACGCAGCACTCACGCGCGGTAGCTGTCTGTCCACAACAGTGTATTCACGAAAAAATCGATTGATTTGTGATTCCTCGCGCTTGCAAACTGCGCTCGCCTACGAATGCTAACTGTGTTGGCTTGCTGGTCGCCACAGGTGTTATTTTAAGTAGGTATCAAGGGCACAGTTCTTAGGCGAGCTCTTCTAATGTTAGTAGGGAAAGTATTTCTGAAAACTGAAGCTACCAACATTGAGTTATGCGATAGGAGGTTGCATGACTGAATCAAATAGTCGTACGATAGAGCGCCAAATCTTACCTAATGTTATCACAATGCTGGGTTCAAATTCGCATTGGATTCTAGATGTTTAGTCAGTTAGTCCAAAGCAACCACAATTAATATTGAAAGGTAAAATGAGGAAAAGTAAGGGTTGCGCATTCAACGCGTTACGGTAGAAAAGACACGAGTTATAACGCAGTAGGTTAGGATTCAAGGCCAGTGAATAGACAGGAAGACACATCGCTCTTTGAGATGGAAAAGTTCCACCCGTCAAGGTTTTAATCACGCATTATCAATAAGAAGACCTGTAGTGGGTTCGCTTAGCACTACCTGCCCGTAACAACCCGAGGAGAGAGAAGAGGCGACAGAGGACACAACTCTATTATCATCACGCCATCCCAGTGTGTATCTTGGTGTGTGGGTGAGTAAACGGATGACAGGCGTCTTATAACGGTAACCAATGAAAAGGGGACGTGACATTATCACCGCCAGGTCAGTAAACAGGGTTCATCGAGGCGTGATCGCTGACAGTCCGCTGCAGGACCTCAAAGAGCCAATAGTGGCGTTCTAATAAAATAAGGGAGATGCAAACGCTGCTTTGCCAACAAATTATACAGAACATGTCACCCATAGATACAGGCACTTGAGACTAGTTAATGCAGTGCAACGGGGAAAGCAGTGAAAATAATTCCTGATTTTAATGAAATAGGAAGCAATCGATACGTGAGTCCTGGCTCTCTGCACGCGATCTTATCCTGTCTACCTTGCTTACATACACAATAAAACTCTACTCAGGGTGCGCAATTTCATTGGATAACAATAAGACGATGAAACAGATGTAGTCAAGGCGCAGGTTGTGTCATGTTCAGGTCTTTCGAGTGTGACTTGAATTTGTAATGTGAATTTTGTTCATGATATAAATGGTATTTGTGCTAATGTAGTAGGTTGCGTTCACAATGTGAGTTGCTTGTAAGAAGGTATTTATGCTGGTGATGTGAGTTGATTTAAAACTATTAGTTGTGTTCATTGTGATAATGATGTGAGATGCGTTCATGAATTGAGTTATGTAAATGACCATGAAGTTTGTTGTTTTGATGATGCGCTGTTATTCATGGTGTGACTTATGTCTATCAAGTGATTTGTGTTCATTAAGTGAGTTGTAATCAGGATGTAAGGTGTGTTCCTGGTGTGATTTGTTTTTGTGAAGTAATTTGTGTTCATGGTGTTAGTGGGTTGTCCACTTGTGTGAGCAGAGTTCATGATGTGCACTGTCTTCAGGAAGTACGTTCTGTTCCTTACGTGTTATGCGGTCATGATGCGATTTGCACCAATGCATTAAGTTGCAGTCACAATGTGAGTTATTCTTATGAAGTCATCTGTGTTCATAATGCGCGTTGCATCAAGGAATTGAGCTGTATTCATGAATTATGCTGCACTCACGATGTCGTGGTTTGTTCATGCAGTGAGTTGTGTAAATTATGCGACGGTTCGTCGTGATGTAAGTTGTTTTCATGAAGCGTGTTTTATTAATTAAATGAGTTAATTGTCATGAGGCAATTGCATGCATGTTGTCGGTTGTGTTGAGGAATATTATGTGAGTTTTGTTCATGGTGTGTGTGTTATGTAAATGATGTTGGTTGTGTTTAGGATGAGTTGTGTTCGTGATAATGATCCGTGTTTATTCTTGACGTGTGTTTATGATGCAAGAAGCTAACTTTATGACTTGAGTTGTGTCTTTAATGCGAATATTTATAACATTATAAATACTACACACGTCATGAACAAAACTCACACTATGAATTCTATCCTTCGCATAAACACTACTGATAATTTAAGCAATATTTAGATCAGTAACGTTAATCCCACAAGGAGAACTACCAATATGTAGGGTTCGTGAGGTGAAAAATGTTCAAGATATGAATAATGTTCAAAATGTCAGTAGGCTTTATGAAGTGAGCAATGTTCATGTTTTGAGCAGTGCTCATGATGTGATTACTGTTCACTTGGCCTGTAGCATTCATGATGTGAGTTGTGTTAATTATGTGAGAAAGGTTCATGCAGTGGATTCTGTTTCTCTTATAAGTAGTGCTTTTGATGTAAGTAGTGCTCATAATATAATTAATATTCTTGATTTGTGGTGTGTTATTTCTGTGGGTAGTTTTCGCGATGTATGTAGTGTTCATAATTTGTAAGGTTTTCATAATGTGATTTGTGTTCAGGATGTGATTAGAGTTCATTTCGAGTGTAGTTTTTGTGTTTTAAGTAGTACTCACGTTTTGTTTTGTGCTTATGTTTTGATTAGTGTTTTTGTAGAGTAGTGATCATGATGTGATTAGAGTTCATTGTTTTTGTGGTTTACATGATGAGTGTATTGTTTGAAAATGTGCGTAGTTTTGAGGTAGTGAATAATGTTGGCGAAGTGTGCAGTGTTCATGTTGTGAGTAATGTGCTAAATGGGTACTGTTCAAGATATAAGTGCTAAATGGATACTGTTCAAGATATAAGTAGCGTTAGTGATGTGAGCATTTTGCATGATTCAATTAGTGTTGATGTTATGATTAATTATCAGAATGTGATAATGGTTTACGTAATGAGTAATCTTCATGTGCCTACTCTTCATTATGTGCATAATGTATAGGTTGTGAGTAGTTTTCATGGTAGAATTGATGTGAGAAGTGTTTACGTAGTGAGTTGTTTTCATGATGAAAGGTTCCCCTTTTCGCAGCACGTCGCCAGCCGCGCGGATCCTCAACTCCCCCCTCGCTAGCACGAACATTTATCCTGGATTATCCTCACACCTAGGTCTCGATATTAGCGCACGCATGACTCACACATCTGAGGTATAAATACACACGCGCAAGCCCCACACACGACACAACGACACCAACGTGGTTGAGTTCTGAAGTAAACGGTTATGTCCACGTCCTCTCCGCTCTTTTTCTTCATCAGGGGCCAGGGTTAATTCCGTGGCCCCGGCGTGGTTCAAGACCGCATGCTGGGACCCACAACAATCCCATTGTGATCTGCATCGCATGTCCTAGACAAACACCACATCTGCACCATCCAATCTCGCGTCAATTAATGTTGCCTGAGCACATGTGTTTGAGTAGAGTTATGTGTAAAATTGCAACAAGGATTGTAGAGAAATTCAAATACTCTATTGCTATATGAATTGCGTGGCCAGGTCACACACCACCTCTGGACAATCCAACCTCAATATTGCCTTAGCACAGGTGATATCCTGAATTGAGTTTTGCGGTCATTGAGACATATGCTTCCACAGAAATGACCAAATCCCATTTCGGTGTGCATCGCTTTCGCTAATTTTGCATTACGTTGGCACAACCAATCATATGTCAAAACAGTGTTGACAAAACCCATCACTAAGCTTTTTCGATGGGGTCGGAGTTGATTAAAACAGCGCTCGCACTTTAATTGCAATTATTCCATTGCCATATATATTGCATGCCCTAATCTTACACTACTAATGGCCAATCCGATCTCGCGACAAATCTATTTTGCCTAAACTCATGCAACATCGCGTTTGATTTGAGTTCAGTGTTGATTGAAACAAGGCTTGCACTGAAATTTCGAAAAAACCATTATGATATGCATCGCATGCCCTAGCCTAACACCACTTCGGCATAATGCAGTCTTACGTCAAAATAAATGCCGCCTAAGATCATGTCGCATCGTGTTTGAGTTGAGTTCATTGTTGGTTGAAACAACGGCTTGCACAGAAATTGCAAATATTCTAATCGATATGTATTGCATGCCTTAGAGACAAACAACTTATGCGCACCCCCAACTCACGTCAAATCAATGATGCCTAAGCACGTCACACCACTTAAATGTTCAGTTCAGTGTTGAGTAAAACAATGGCTTCACGGAAACTGCAAATACCCTATTGTGATATGAATCGCGTGAATTCCCTAAACACCACTGCAGCACAATCCAAACTCACGTCAAATCAATGTCACCTAGTTACACGCCAAATCATGCATACGTTGGGTTCAGTATTAAATGACTCAAAAACTGCACAGAAATTGCAAGTACCCCATTTTGATAAGCATCGCAAGACCTAACCACTCTTCTGCCGTGTTTCAGTCAAGGTTGAACTTAACTGAAACAAAGCTTCCACAGAAAATTTCAAATTGTCATTTGCATCGCATGACCTAGCCACACAATATTTCGCGAAACTCTAGTCTCAGGTCAACGCTAAATATTTCCAAGGAACTTGTTACACCGAAGTTCAAACAATGCCGTGAACACAACTCATACTCGTGAAACAATGGCTGTTACAGATATTGACAATCACCTACTTTTGTACATCGAATTCCCTAACCTGACAGAATCTGTACACAATCAAATCACACGTAAAATCAACGATGACTTAACATACCATATGATGACTTGAGAACAATCATTATTTGAACACTGGCTTGCTCAGAACTTGAAAATATTTTATTTTTGATATAAAGAACCCCCAGCCAGGCAGCGAGTGTTCGCATTCGCATCTCAAGAAAAATCAGCAGAAAATTTGCACTCTCGTTGCTATGACCGAGGACCTACAATGTACTTTTTATCAGGGCATTTTGGCACTCTTCGGAGTTGTTGGTTAACCTCTTTAGGACGGTTAACGAGACAATTCTTAACGGAGGCAGCGTATTTCTCACTGCTACTGCCACCTTGGACCTTCACTTTACTAGACTTCGTCCTGTTGCGGCTCAGGAGCAATTTATGCGTCAATCCCTGCTTTTTTCTTCAGCGATAGCGTTCTAGTGTGCCATTCAACGACTCGGCTCTTCCTTCAAATGTGCTGTGAGAGTAATTTGAAAGTGGCGTGACCGCAGTTAATAAAATTGAACGAATTAGCCCCACCGCCTATATGTTGCGATTAATCCACTAACACCCCTAATACAACTGGCGCAGACGACCTCGTAAGTGTAAGTCCTTTGGCCCTAATGTTTTGAAATGTAACGCCTGTACGAGCCACGTTGTCTGGTGACCACGTTCCAACCGCATTCCGTAGGTACTCACAGCCACTAAGTAGTTTCCGCGGTGACCATACCAACTGCTCCGTCCCGTGACAATCAATCAGTGGCTGTTCTAGCCGCCATTTGTCCACGTAGTTCACGCATTCTTCCCTTCTAATCTGCCTTTTCTGCGACCGATAATGGCACGGGTCTCCCACCCCTTGCAAGCTGGTTACTAGCATGTGATTTTAGTGGTTGATCGGTAACGCTGGGACTCAAACCAATGCAGCCACAATAAATACGACTAATGGCATTGACTTAGTTATCTAGACAATTCAATCGGTTAATGGTGACAGAGGACAAGCTCTTCGAATCTTAGGAAAATTACTCGTAAATACTGTAACAACTGATATTGATTGATGTAAAGTAGCATAGATAAGCCAAAAATTAGGAAGATTGAGACAATTTTTATCTAATGTCACCACGATAGTAAACCCAAACTTACACCGGCTTCTAAATGTTTAGTCTGTTTATCCAATACGACCATATTTAATCTTAAACAGCAGATTGAGAAAAAAACAAGGATGAATGTTCAACGCTCCGCAATGGGAACCACGCACGAATTAATATCGAAAAGATAATACAGTAGAACAGGATTCATGGTGGGTGTAGGGACGGGAAGGCATACCTTGCCTTGAGATGAAGGGCTTCATCCGCCAATGTTCATTGTTCACGTGTTATCAACATGAAGGCACCCAATGAGCCAATAACAGCATACTAATAAAATACGGATGATTAGCCAACGGTGCTTTACCTTTAGTTTCGGGTAGTCATTCATTATTATTGTAACCATGCCGATGTAGGGAAGAAATCTAAAAGTGGTAAAAGAACATAGCAACTAAAGACCTTAATGTTTTGCATTGCCAATCGGTTAAGGCAGAGCAACGGCGCAAGGCGGTAAGACTAACTCATGATTTGAACTAACGAGGAAGTCACGTGAGTCCGGTTTACGTAAAGCAAAAACTGGGCTACAACCGACACCTCACATATGTGGCTCAAGATCAGTGTAATAAAGGAGTTCAAGAAGGGGACAAAAGATTGTGATTTGGAATTGAAGCAGGTAACGATAGCAGTCGACAGATGAGAAAAAAGACAAAACGCACCCTTTTGCTTTGCCCATAATGTGTTTTTCTTCAAGCCAATCTTGACCCTGAGGGTACAGTGCGCGGTCATCAACGGCGTTGTTGTCCCCCTTGGTAAGGAACTTCATTGTACCATTTATCCTTAAAAAAATAAGTTGTATCAAAACAACACCACAGCCGAGCCTAGTGTAATGATACTTACGATTGATGGACACGGAGAACCCTATGAACGATGGGGATTTCACGGTCATCGATTTTAAAGACGGTAATATCACCAACATTTAGGGCTTCTGACTTAAAGTTCGTCAAGAATAAAAGATCCCCGCGGTAAAATGCAGGTTCCATGCTCCCACTGACAATAAAATAGCAAGCTTTTATACATAAGTTACCTGAGAACGACAACAATGGGACTAGGACTGTTAGTAATAACAATTAAGGACTTCCATATCATAAGGGCAGAAGAAAGAACCATTGCAAAAGTTAAAACTTGATAAAAAAGCTTCAAGATAAAAAACGACGATTAATACTTGTCGGCCGTTCATTCTTTTCAGCTCCCCAACCACGTCACAGCCCAGTAACGTAGGCCCCATTTCGTTGAAGTGGAGTTCGACGCACATTGGCGCAGACATATTAGACCATACCAGCCTCAGCCAATCCCCTGTCTATTAGCATTCCAATGACATGCGAGGAAAGTATGCAGCCAACCAGAGGCCGACACGCATTAGAAGCATTATATAAAGGGCGGTGCAGCCAGCGTGGTGGACTCGGATTGGCGGTGCCTGCTGTTTGGCTCTGGCTTGTGGTTGGTTACGAAGTCCTTGCACATTTGGAAGAAGTCTTATTACAACTAGGGTTCGGGCATTCAACAGTGGAAGCCAGTCACTAACCAGGCGGGTTTCGTTGGATTTCAGCGAATTGGAATTTTGAAATTAAATAATGCAACAATTGATTGCAAGCAATTTGACAAAGTCCGATTAAGTATATTTTTGGTTAATTTTCATTTATGGACTAGATATAAAAATTCATTTTTGCTAAAGATAATATGTACGCAAAAAACCAGTTGTAATTCTTAACCTAGTCATACACAAAGTGTTGGCAAATGCCGGGAATTCTCAAATGCATGCAATTTTAAGATTGTGAGCATTAGTGTCATAATGAAATAAGTAAAAATAGAAGGTCCATTTACCACAAATTAAAGAGAATTTATGAAAAATCAAGTACGTAAATTAATTGTGTTGGTTGTGTTTTATTGCGAATAAGTATCCTTCAAATACCATAGGGATTATAAAAAGATGTGGCAACGACTGCCATCCAGTCAAAAAAAAATAAGAAAAATAAACAACGAAACACACATCTAGGTTTGTTTAAAATGATACAGTTCCATCTCGGAATCGTTGCTCTCATTTTTTAAATGTTAGTGTATGTTTAGGAGATAAGTTTTTTTTTTTTTCTAAAGATCAATTTCATTTCGTGTACTCAAAAAGTATACAGGAATATTCATCCCACTACGGATCATAATTGCAAAGGCTTACTTAGCCAAAAACGGAAAGCATCATTTGCTTAATTCGTAATCTTTTCAAAACCTCACGACTTAGGCTCTTATCCAGATGAACACTTCGAAAATAAGGAACAATGACATATGTTCTTTTTTTCAATTTTGAACAGGCAACGTTGAGCAAGCAAAATGTGACATGTGTGTATATTCTATATATCAAAACCAGATAAAATTAATCGGAAAATGTAGAAATAAATTAGCGGATATATGATTAAATAGGATTTTAGCAACAATTACAGAGGTGAGATTGCCTTGATGACAGAAAAGCTTTTCATTCAGCGCCAGTAAGTTGGGAGAAGGAATGGAAGCATCAGTGCAGTGTACACTGGGCGATTGAGTGGGACTTTTGACACATTAGTGAGAGTGGGGGTCTTATGATGTTCGGGTGTGGGTCCATTGAAGTGGCGAAATAAAAGTAGATCAAAATTTTTTTTAAAAGCGGCAAAATTGAGAGGAAATGGATTTACCTACTACAAAATGCCCACTGTCAATTAACTGGTTCATAAATGCTAATACTGGAATGGCTATATCTGACCTGCTTTTTGAAGGTACACTTCGAGCCTGTCAATTATGAAAGCAACATTGGCTTATGAAGTGCCCAAACTCTGACAGAATCAACGGAACCAAATAACTGCCATACAATGTGGAACCGCATACAATGTGCTTAATCCATTTTTTACAAATAACTATTATCACAATCAAAAGAGGAGAAAAGAAATGGTTAAAAGCAAATGTATACAATAAATGTAAGCACGAAATTTTAATGGGTACATTGATTTCTATTCCAGCTAAACTAGCAAAATTTAATAGATAATAAATTTATTTCTGTTTTTTAGACATAGTCAAGGTGTTGCTAAGTTAGCTTTAACAATATAATTGATTTATATCACGTTATCCAACGTTTTGACTTAGGTCAAAGTAAGTCTGATGATGAAGGGGGGCTGAGTATCGGAAGAAATCTACGATATACGACTATATAACCTGCAATCAGACAAGAGTCAGAGGACCAGGTAACCGTTCTTTGGTGGTGAAGTAAGGGCTGAGAGGAGTAGTTAGCACCAGATGTCGATGTTGCCTTTCAGAATGATGATGTATTAACCATTTCTTCCTAGCCAATTTTCATTTGGTAATAAGGGGCTCAGGATAATTTTAAACATATGGTCCTACAGGATTTACTAAGTATTGGGTTCGATGACGCTAGTGGGGAGATACAGTAATACATGGCTAAAAACAGGTGCTGCTTCAACCTATTTAGAGGAAATACCTAAATTTACCTGCAAATATCTATTCCATTGGACATCCATACCTTAAACACAGACTTCCATGGATGATAGGTTTAAGAGAGTTATTTGATAACGAATCGTTTCAAGCAGGAAATAAATCTACCATAAAATGTAGACAATGGACACGTTGCGTCTTAGAATGGTGAATCCAAAAAGATTAAAGCACATCTTGCCGAGATGTCCCAGGTGATTATAGAATTACCTGAGAACGAAGTAAAACTCAGATTAATGAACTACTTCATTGATGGAGGTGTCTGAATCAAACTTGAAATGTGGAGGTCTTACCAGAGAAGTTGATTGTTTCAGCTCAACGAAAGAGTTTGTGGCTCTTTAATTTAACCACTTATCTCAACTGTTATTGATTTTTGTTGTCTACAAAGCTGTCGATAATTTACAAAGGCTCCATTAGATACCTTTGCGAGGAGTTTACCTATTTAAATGTGTTTGTGTGCAACAAGATGGTTTTAAAGTTAAATAAAGCAAAATTAAGTTTTTTAAAGCCGAGTTTCACTTTAAGGTCTACGTCGCCAAAAAAAATATCCTTTAAAGTGTAGCATGAACTTACACCTTTTTTTAAATATTTCATTACTAAGCATTGATTTGATAATGCTAAAGGGTTTACATTTAGCATAATACAAGGAAATCCTCGATAACACCAACAAAAGTGAAAGGTGGTTCTTTAGTTGAGAATGCATTAGCTTTGAGGTACTTTGTGGCGTTAACTTTACAGTGAGACGTGGCATTGTTGTTTGTGTTGTGCCATCGGCAAATAGAAGCCAACGTTGGGCAGGGTCAGCATAAGGACAATTATATTTTCAATATGCAGTATAAAAGCGCAGGAAAACATATTTTGTTAAGTGAGATAAATAGAAGTGCAATTTACAATGCCTAAATGTGTGTTTGTTTGAAAGGTTAATTTTCCACGAACATGAGCGTTAGCGTCGTTCTGACACCAGGCTGCATTTTTCGTGGCAACTGCATTTGGAAGGGTTGGCGTTGTTGAGATGCCATATTTCACTAATTTGTCGGTGAAAGGATAGAGAGTCAATCGTTTATTCGAGAACTTGACGAAGCCGCGGTGGTCTGTGGGGTTGGCGCGTGTGTATTTATAGCTCGGATGTGTGAGTCATAAATGCGCTAACACCGAGACCTACCTTGGTGTGATGATAATCCAAGATAAATATTCGTGAGGATGGAAGGGGAGTTGAGGATTCGCGCGGCTGGCTCCACGCTGCGGAAGAGGGGAACCCTGTGTCGGAGGCGGAGCGATCGAATTAAGGCGTGTGAGTAAACACGATTCACAACAGCGTCATGCGTGAGAAGCGGATGATTGGTTAAAGAGTAAAGATAGAAGGAGTAAATCCAGGTGAGCATATGCAGGGTATGGAAGGAATTTGGTGGAAACTTAGAAGAAAGGTAGGTTTAACTTAAGCAAATGAATTATTTAGAGGGTTAACTTTGATAAGAATGAGAAAAGAAGACGCCATAGGAAGGCTATCAAAGGTAAAGAATTCAGACTAAAATTAAGAGAATTAATTCGAGACTGGTTAGGAAATTACAGGAAACAGACCGCTCTCAACGACGAGTCTCTGCTGAGGGGCGAAAGTATGCTGGTTTAATTAAGAATTTAGATAAATTCTCTGAGTTAAGGATTCATTCTTTAGTTTATCAGATCTACTGCAGTCTTATAATTTCTGCTGTGCATAATTTGCACGAATCCTTTTTCAACCTTTCATTTTTCTTTTAGATATAAAAATGGACACCTAAATTACCCTAAACGAAGATATTTGAATAACCAAACCAATGAAAAAAGAACAAGAAATGTGCAGCTTAAAAGTAAATTTGTTGCAAATTCAAGTGGCTAAAATGCTGATAGGCTTATATGGTTCGAATTACAAGAAATTTGTTGCGTTTTGCATACTATGCAGTTTAGTCCAAGCATTTAATATTACTGCAATAAAAAAGCAAACTCTAAATGTGTGCAATAAATATGAATGCTATTATTTAACAGATAGTTTTAATTGTGGTCCAACGGAACCACTTTAGTAAAATACAGAGTGAACCAAGACTACCATGTTTCTCTTCATATTTTTATTCATCTGGCAAGTTCTCTTGGTAATGAGCTACGTATTTACTCAAGATTGTAATTTTTTACTATTCTTATTCTTACCCATTTATGCTAGAATATGTTTGTCAAGGCAATCCATTTGACACCGCTGGCTGCTGAATGCACAAATATTCCTCAGGATTACGACCACTGCATGTCATGATAAATCTGTATTTTAACAGCAAATAATTAAGATTAATGCGAAAAGAGGAAAAAACATCGTCGGCTAAGTGCGTGGGCTACTCACTAAAAATGTCGAGATGAAAGCTCAAGAAATCAAGCAAGAAACGGAGACAAGTTTTTTTATAAAATAAGGTGGCTTAGTGACAATTTTTGAAACCCAGCTATATGGAATCAAGAAATGAGACTTTTTAATCAGCAAATATGATAAGTACAATGAAGTAAGCTTTATTGAATAGTCAATAGCAAGAAGAGTTTGTCAGACATCGGTTATCTGAGGACAGCGTACTGACTGCACCGCCACCTATATAGCGCATTTCATACATCTCTGTTAGTTGGTGGCTTTTGAGCTTCAGCTTAAACCTTTAACACGCAAATGCATCAAGAATTTGCTAAGCTAATGCGTAATCTAATTTGCTTGAGATCCTGTATGGCATTACACTGCCTTCTTCTCAAAGGAGAGGA